TAGCTTGGGGAAACTTCGCTGGGGGAGCGAGACCGGATGCTCGACGGGATGAAGCCGTGGAAATCGCTTGGGGAAACTTCGCTGTGAGGGAGCGAGACCGGATGCTCGACGGGATGAAGCCGTGGAAATAGCTTGGGGAAACTTCGCTGGGAGGGAGCGAGACCGGATGCGGGACGGGATGAAGCCGTGGAAATAGCTTGGGGAAACTTCGCTGGGAGGGAGCGAGACCGGATGCTCGACGGGATGAAGCCGTGGAAATAGCTTGGGGAAACTTCGCTGGGAGGGAGCGAGACCGGATGCTGGACGGGATGAAGCCGTGGAAATAGCTTGAGGAAACTGCGCTGGGAAGGAGCGAGACAGGATGCTGGGCGGGATGAAGCCGTGGAAATAGCTTGGGGAAACTTCGCTGGGAGGGAGCGAGACCGGATGCTGGACGGGATGAAGCCGTGGAAATAGCTTGGGGAAAACTTCGCTGGGAGGGAGCGAGACGGGATGCTGGACGGGATGAAGCCGGGGAAATAGCTTGGGGAAGACTTCGCTGGGCGAGTGGAGCGAGAACCGGATGCTCGGGCGGATGAAGCCGTGGAAATAGCTTGGAACTTCGCTGGGAGGGCAACAGACCGATGCTGGACGGGATGAAGCCGTGGAAATAAAAGCTTGGGGAAACTCGCTGGAATGGAGCGAGAAAACCGTATTCGGGATCGGATGAAGCCGTTTTTGTGAAATAGCTTGGGGAACCTTCGCTGGGAGGGAGCGAGACCGGATGCTCGTCGGGATGAAGCCGTGGAAATCGCTTGGGGAAACTTCGCTGGGAGGGAGCGAGACCGGATGCTGGACGGGATGAAGCCGTGGAAATAGCTTGGGGAAACTTCGCTGGGAAGGAGCGAGACTGGATGCTGGACGGGATGAAGCCGTGGAAATAGCTTGGGGAAACTTCGCTGGGAGGGAGCGAGACAGCATGCTGGACGGGACAAAACCAAGGAAAATAGCTTGGGGAAACTTCGCTGGGAGGGAGCGAGACCGGATGCTGGACGGGACAAAACCGTGGAAATAGCTTCGGGAAACTGCGTGGGGAGGGAGCGAGACAGCATGCTGGACGGGGCAAAACCGTTGAAAATAGCTTGGGGAAACTGCGCTGGATGGGAGCGAGACAGCATGCTGGACGGAAAGCTGTGCTGGGAGGAAGCGCGACAGCATGCTGGACGGGACAAAAACGTGGAAATAGCTTGGGGAAACTTCGGTGGGAGGGAGCGAGACAGCATGCTGGACGGAGAAGAAAGCGTGCAAATAGCTTGCGGAAAGTTGCGCTTGAAGGGAGCGAGACAGCATGCTGGACGGGATGATGCCGTGTAAATAGCTTGAGGAAACTTCGCTGGGAGGGAGCAAGACAGCATGCTGCACGGAGACGAAAACTGTGGAAATAGCTTGCGGAGAGCTTTGCTGGGAGGAAGCGCGAGAGGATGAGACAGCATGCTGGACGGAGAGGAAACCGTGCAAATAGCTTGCGGGGAGCTTCGCTGGAAGGGAACGAGACAACTGGACGGATGGGAAACCGTGGAAATAGTTTCGGAGAGCTTCGCTGGGAGGAAGCGAGATAGCATGCTGGACGGAGAGGAATCCGTGGAAATAGCTTGCTGAGCTGGGAGGGAGCGAGACAGCTTGCGGAAAGCTTCGCTGGGAGGGAGCGAGACAGCATGCTGGACGGAGAGAAAACCGTGCAAATAGTTTGCGGAAAGCTTTGCTGGGAGGGAGCGAGACAGCATCCTGGACGGAGAGGAAACCGTGGAAATAGGTTAAGGAGAGCTTCGCTGGGAGGGAGCGAGACAGCATGCTGGACGGAGAGGAAACCGTGCAAATAGGTTGCGGAGAGCTTCGCCGGGAGGAAGCGAGATAGCATGCTGGACGGAGAGGAAACCGTGCAAATAGCTTGCGGAGAGCTTCGCTGGGCGGGAGCGAGACAGCGTGCTGGACGGAGAGGAAACCGTGCAAATAGGTTGCGGAGAGCGTCGCTGGGAGGGAGGGAGACAGCATGCTGGATGGACAGGAAACCGTGGAAATAGCTAGCGGAGAGCTTCGCTGGAAGGGAGCGAGACAGCGTGCTGGACGGAGAGGAAACCGTGGAAATAGCTTGCGGAGAGCCTTGCTGGGAGGGAGCGAGACAGCATGCTGGACGGGACAAAACCGTGGAAATAGCTTGCGGAGAGCTTCGCTGGAGGGAGCGAGACAACATGCTGGACGGATAGGAAACCTTGAAAATAGTTTGCGGCAGAGCTGTTGGCACGGGTTTTTCAGGACAAATGCCATCATTGCGATTGGCCTGAAAAAATTGTGGACCCAAGACTGGTCAAATGGTCCCAAGACCGGTCAAACGGTTTGCAAAGGCTGAAAAATGGGACATGCACAGAGAAGCTTTTACACAAAAAAAGCCTTTACACAGAAACTTTGACACACAGACGCGTTTACAGAGACACAGAGGAGTCTTGACACAGAAGCCTTTACGCACAGAAGCTTTTTTGCACAGAGTAGCTTTTACACACAGAAGTCTTTACACAGAGAAGTCTTGAGACAGAGAAGCCTGTACACACAAAGGCTTTTACAGAGAGAAGCCTTTCGCACAAAGAAGTCTTGACACAGAGGAGCTTTTACGAGAGAAGTCCTTACACAAACGAGATTTACACGCAGAAGGTGTTACAGATAGACGTTCTTTCGGCGCACAGAAACTTTAACACAGAGCAGCTTGTACACACAGAAGCTTTTACACAAAAAAGCCTTTACACAGAGAAGTTTTTCACACAGGAGCTTTTGCACAAGAAAACTTTTACACAGGAAAGCTTTTACACACAGAAACTGTCACACACAGAAGCTTTGTACACAGAGAAGTCTTTGCACAGAGGAGCTTTTGTACACAGAATCTTGTACACACAGACGCTTTCACACACACACAGGAGGTTTTACAAACAGACAACTTTACGGCGCACAGATTTTTTACACAGAGCAGCTTTTACGCAGCGAAGCTTGTACACACAGGGGGCTTTTTTACACAGAAGCTTTTACATAAGGTTTTTTTAATACACAGAAGCTTTTACACACAGAAACCTTTACACACAGAAGCTTTTACACACAGAAACTTTTACACACAGAAGGTTTTACACACAGAAGCTTTTAACACAAAAAAACCTTTAAACAAAGGAGCTTTTACACACAGACGGGTTTACACAGAGAAGTCTTTACACACGGAGGCGTTTACACAGGAAAGAGTTTACACGGAAGCGTTTACACAGAGTAGTTTTTACACAGAGAAATCTTTACACAAAGAAGTCTTGACACAGAGAAGCTTGCACACACAGAGGCTTTTACACACAGAAGCCTTTTACACAGAGCGGCTTTTTCACAGAGGAGCTTTTACACAGAGGAACTTTTACACAGAGAAGCTTGTACACTCAGAGGCTTTGACACAGAGAAGTCTTTTACACAGAGAAGCTTTTGCACACAGAAGCTTTACACAAACAAAACCTTAACACAGAGGAGCTTTTACAGACAGAAGCTGGTACGCAAAGAAACTTTCGCAAACAGAAACTTTTACACACAGAGCGCGTTTTACACAGAAGATTTTACACACAAGAGCTTTTACACCAAAAACCTTTACACAGAGAAGTTCTTGCCCACAGAAGCTTTTACTTGCAGAAGCTTTTATGCAAAGAAGCTTTTGTACAGAGAAGTCTTTACCCATCTTTTATCATGTCTCATTTTTCATGATCATTTGCCATCTGTCACCTTCATATATATCTTCGTTTTCATGCTCTTTTGGTCAGCTCCCTCTGTCGTTTAATTTTCATTTCGTTCTGTCCGTCCACGCTTCGTGCTCGCTCCCTCTGCGGCGAAGCAAACTAAACGAGAACGCAGAAATAGATAGCGACTAGACAGATGGGATAGAGTTAATTACATTAACAGAAATAGCGACTAGAAGACTGTAGGCGTAGCTGACACAGCATGCTGTGGTGAATCGTGGCCCCTGATACCATCAGTGCGCACGATGTTTAAGTAAAGATCTTACGTCGATTTCGTGCAGAGCACAGCTGGCCACACCCCAAGATTTTCAAGAAAAGGCGTGCTGTGTGCCGTCTTGCTTTTGGGTTCTCTGGCCCACCTTGTTTTGAAATTAAATACTGTTTCTTGCATGTTGGTGATGGTCACTCATGGAGGTGGGCTGAAGCTGTGGAACCACATTTGCCAACTTGAAAATTGTTGCAGCTGTCATTTGGATTTTGGATGATTGGAGGCGCAGGAGAAAACATTTCCAAAGCATTGGTTCTCGTTTATGTTTGATGCCACGGTTTCGATCTTCCTTGCTTTGATTCTTGGGCGCGCTTTGCTCTTTCATTTTTGCATGCATGAGGGTAGGTCTCAACACTCAGTTGCGGACATGCGGGTGCATTGCTCAATTTTGGTGACACAGATTCCTTGGAAGATTTGCCCAGACAATGACAATGCAAACATGCAAAGGAATTTTGTTCTTCAAACGTACCTTTTTTTTGCCGAGGGCCGTCCGGATGGCGTCCGAAAGTACAGAAAAATGCGTCCAAAAGTACGGAAATATCATGAAATATCCGTCCAGTTTGGATCCGTCCGAACCAAAAGGACATTTTTCTGAAAACGCACCTTTTTTTCACCGTCCGTCCGTCCATCAGTCAAAACTGTGTCAGCAGTTGGCACCACAAGGTCAGGGCCAGTGGATGTGCTCAATCCCCGTGTGTATTTTTCAGAAGTGTCGCAATGTGCAAATGTTTGCCCCCGCAGCTGGTTTTATATCTCGACACAAATCGTGGATCCAAAGTTGTTCTGCCAAGAAGTTTCAGTCATACGCAGCGATATAGAGCAAAAAGGCGCCTTGTTAGTGAAGCATTTTGTGGAGCTGGGCGAGCTGGTAACCAAAAGAACTGTTACTTGTTTTGTGGCCAGGGTAGATTTTCCATTGTTTTTTTCCCCGGAAAGATGTTTTCCATGTCTAAAAGGGTGGTGTCCCCTTCCATGATAGAACTCGCATGCCATCAGCGTCTCTTCTGTCATGATTAGATACCGGGCGGTGAACTAGGGTTGATTGGAGATATATATATATATGAATGATATTTTATATTTGATATGATATGATATGATTTGATATGATATGATATGAGTGATATATATATATATATTTACATGCCTGATCCAACATCAGGCAGGACAAGCACAAAACGTTCACATGATTTGGCTTAGTAATGCTTAGTATACAGCCAGCACATGCTTGGAAGACAAATATGGAAAGTTCAAGTGCTATATGAAGTGGTCTCTTGCACATTGAAGTCAAGTAGACTTTTGGGGGTAGTGATTAGTTGGCATCCGAAGTCCAAGCACAACGTGTTTACGTTACATGGGCCATATAGGGCCCTTTAGGCCAAGTTTTGTGCGTGTCACAGTGTCATCCCAAGTTAACGGCGACAACTTCACAATACATTGCTCGAAAAAGTGTCACAAGGAAGTCATGAAACAACCGCAAGCCAAATGCTCTGGAACCATCCGAGGAGTAGACTTTGGGACAACTCTGGAACACAATCGTAAAACTTATAGTGATGACTTCAGCTACGGCGTGCAATTTCATGATTCATTTTAGAAATCACCAAAAATCAATACATGTCAAGTTTGACGGGATGAGGAGGTCAGGGAAGCATGCTGACTTGTTTGATTCAATGTTTGGTTGCTCTGATTGTGGATTTGGCTAATTAATTTCATGGTTCACGGTATGTTGCTTTGATTGTTTGACATGTTTGTTGAAAAGATGTCAAGGACATGGATGACATCTTGGATTGCTATGATTATATATATATATGTATAATTATAAATATATATATCGTTTATATATACATATATACACACAGGTTTGTCCGAAAGTCAAGTGCCCGTAGGTTTCACTGGCTTATCATCATTGTCCTTAAACTTGCCATAGCTTGGGGTTCATACACCATGTTGAGATACACCCAGACATCAGATTCTTGCTTATAGTCTATTATATCATCATTATGTGCTTATTACAGTTGCTTTTGACCTTCATTTTTCCATTATGCACTGGTTACATAAGACTATTTATCTCATGATGAAAGTCGCGGTAGGTGACTTGGATGACCTCTTTGAAGCAGCAGAGGTGATGGTGTAAGGGCAATGGTGTAATGGCTGGGATGGGCCATGATTCTGGGGCGTACTACACATGTATGCATATATATATATTTGGTACCCACCCCAAAAAAAAAACGACGTTGTCTAATTACCTTGTTCAGTTTGAGTTCCAGTGGGGGGTACCATGTCTATATATATATATATAGATAGATAGATAGACAGACAGACAGACAGATAGATAGATAGATAGATAGAGAGATAGAGAGATAGATAGATAGAGAGATAGAGGGATAGATAGATAGATAGATAGATAGAGAGATAGAGGGATAGATAGATAGATAGATAGATAGATAGATTAGATAGATTAGATAGATTAGATAGATTAGATAGATTAGATAGATAGATAGATAGATAGATAGACAGACAGACAGACAGACAGACAGACAGATATATAGATAGAGAGATAGAGAGATAGAGAGATAGAGAGATAGAGAGAGAGAGATAGAGAGAGAGAGAGATAGAGAGATAGATAGAGAGATAGATAGAGAGATAGATAGATAGAGAGATAGATAGATAGATCGATCGATAGATAGATAGATAGATAGATAATATCTGAATGTGTTCTCTGGATGAATTATAATGACTTCGCCTTGTGACGTCACTGGAATGATGATATTTAAGGGGGATCATCCCCAAATAGCCGAGCTGTTCCGCTATTTGAAGTTGGTGAATTGTGAGAATTCCGCCAGTTATTATTTTATCTATATATTTCGGGATAGTAACGATTTTGCAAAACAACTAGTAACTATTAGTATTCATTGTGTCTCAGAAGAAAAAAATCCTTGTCCAGGGATGTCCAAGTACATTTTTCGGTATACATCTGGTATACATTATATATATATATAGACATGTATGTGCAGGTATAGCGGTCGAAGGGGAAATTCTTTGCGTTCAGGTCACGGCCATAAAACCGGAACAGTTCTAGGCAGCCTCCCAATCATTTTCCTGTGACGAAAACGGGCATCCATGAATATACCTCATTTTCAGGTTTTCTAAAGCCGTTGAAGTAGTTGAAAATCCATATGTATATATATGTATAGTATATAACTTATATAGTATGTAATATATATATAGTATATTATATATATAATATTATATATATACCAATAATATATATATATATATCACCCATATAATTCCATAAGTGATGTAGGGATATCTCATAACTGGGGCCTTTCAGTGGATCCCGTTCTCCAAGACTTGATCCGTTGCAGGAGCAGGTGGCGGAATCTCTTGAGATGGACTTCTGGAAGGACCCGGTTAGCGGGGATCAAACTTGGCAGAAATTGGAAGCAGTGCCAGATATGCCAGCAACAACCAACCAGAAGCAATAATGACATATAATGTTGTATATAGATGTGATAATAAATAACAATAATACATATATATATATATAATGACATATGATTATAATGATTCATAATGAGGCATAATGACACAATGATTTTTAATGACATATAATGATATAGAATTACATATACGTAATGATACGTATGTAATGACATTTGACTACATAATTCGAGGGATTTCAGCATGATGTCAGCTATCAATCATGGTATTTTTTCTGATAGTCACTAGGTTTTTCCAGTGGCCACCTGGTGAATGGTGGTGCTCATCAGCAGCCGTGCCAGTAGCCTCGCCAGCTAGTTAACCAAACAACCAAAAGTAATCCTTTCAACCAACCAAAAATTGATTATCCATGTCATGTGTGTATACAGTTTTTAAATGGATATCTATATAATATATATATATAATACATATCATACACGAATATCAATACATTTTATTTATATAATTATGTTGTTGCTTTTTAATCTGCGATTTCATTTGTCAATGATGTGGAATTCGGCTTTAGACTTTTGGCCCAGCAGCAGTTCCACTGTCAGACTGCTGTGCCCGGGGAAAGGACATGGCATGGTGAATCATGGTGATGATCATTTTGGGTTCATATATCCAGCAATCAATGAATCAACCAGCTAATTCATCAATCAATTACAGTTATGGCCCTTTAGCAGTTGTAAGTACTTATAACCCCATTTTTGGAATGTATAACCCCATTTATAACCACAACTGCAATGACTCAATCATATGTGAGGCGGCATTTTGTATTGGAAATTATGATCAGCTTTTCCGAACATTCTTCCGTCAAGGATCCAATGCCGTTCGGTGGCCGTTTACCAACTAGGTATGGTCAGTCCAACAGCATTGTTCTGAAGATGCAAAAAGGGTCCCAACAGATCTGTTTTCTTGATATATATATATATATATAGATATATATATATATATACATACATACACATTGATATAATAGTATAATTATAAATTTCATTGATATATATATATATAAGCCAAACTTGAAGCAACCCCCAAGTGTCCCTCGTTGGCGGTGCCACTCATCAGGCCCACTCGGCAACTCAGTCGCACCGGGCTGTTTCGAATTGGGCACAGGAAAGCCACCAGCTGGAAGAGGGGCGCTTTGAATTTAGCGACTTGAAGTGAATGAACATGTAGATACATTTGGAAGTGTTTTTAGATGTGTTCAAAAGATTGCCCAGAACAAGGTATTTCCCATTTGGCTCATTTCCCATTTCCTTCGCCGCCTGGCTTCCCATGGTTCCCATTTGAGGCCAGCCGCAGCAGTGCCTATCTCTCCAGCCGCTGGGATTTATGTTTGATTACCAATGGGTACCAGTGGGTACCAGAGATTTTGACAAGAGGTTATCCACACTTACCATGCAAGTTCATTCCATTGCAAGGTGGCCAGGTGGCCAGGCACAACTCCACCAGATCCTGGCAAGTGCTACATTTTTTTCTCAATGGAAATCATGCGGATTGTCGAATGCTGGGCTTCACTGTAGAGTTGCTTTGGGAGCTTGATGGAATCTCCGAGCCTTTTTGTGGATCTATTTTTGCTTTAAGACTTTAAGACGTTTTAAGACCATTCATACCGGGGTTACGATGAGAAACTAGTGTCACAGTGCATGGTTTGCAAAACCCACCCCTGAACCTCGCACACCACCCAATCGAGATCTTTCGCAAATAATTATGCCTTATTGAGGGTCATGTTAAGACAATATGATTGCTACATATTGCTACAAGATGGGGGACACCCCCGTACGTTAGTTCGTTTATAAACCCTAGTAATGTTGGGCTCTGATTAGTGTGGGGGGGCCCTCTCAACAATTTTAGGCTACTCGATAACTCGGAAGTTTCTGTGCGCCCCCCCCTCAACAATTTTTAGGATCGTCAACTTAAGTAAGGATTTCAATTGACATCAATCTACATTCATTTTTTCCCTTTTAAACCTCAAAGAAATGTACTGATAAGAAAGGATTTCAGTTGAAATCAATTTGCTTTCAAGTCATTTGAATCTACTTCATTGATTTTCCTTTTAAACCTCAAAGAAATCTATTGATAAGAAAGGATTTCAATTGAAATCAATCTACGTTCAATTGCTTTTCCTTTTAAACCTCAAAGAAATCTACTGATAAGAAAGGGATTTCAATTGAAATCAATCTACGTTCAATTGCTTTTCCTTTTAAACCTCAAAGAAATCTATTGACAAGAAATGATTTCAATTGAAATCAACTTACTTTCAATTTACTTTCAATTCATTTGAATCTACTTTCAATTGATTTTCCTTTTAAATCAAAAAAACAAAAAACACCCAAAAAAATGCTGTGCACAATCGGTACCATCCAGACAATTACATTATTGAGGATCTCGGTCACTCATGTGGTACCCCCTTGAAAAATTGTTTGGGTGCTGTTTTTAATAAGGGTTTAATAAGGCACCTAGTTATTTGGGAAACCTTGCATTTTCAAGGCTTTAACATGGATGTGGCTTTCTAAAGTAAATGGACCAGCTTTACCCAAAGAAAGGTGAATAAAGGGTTTTGTGTTTTTTTGATCCCAAAAGTTTTTGTGTGGGCGATGTTTTTAAATAAGGATTTAATAAGGCATCTAATTATGTGGGAAACTTTGAATTTTCAAGGCTTTATCATGGATATGGCTTTCTAAAGTATATAAATGGACCAGCTTTACCCAAAGAAAGGTGGAGTTGTTGTGCACAATAGGGTACCATCCAAACAATTACATTATTGAGGATCTCGGTCAGTCACGGGGTACCCCCTTGAAAAAATGTTTGGGTGTTGTCTTTAATAAGGATTTAATAAAGCAACTAATTATGTGGGAAACCTTGCATTTCAGGGCTTTAACATGGATATTGCTTTCTAGGGTAAATGGACCAGCTTTACCCAAAGAAAGGTGGATAAAGGGTTTTGTGTTTTTTAATCCCAAAAGTTTTTGTGCGGGCGCTGCTTTTAAATAAGGATTTAATCAGGCATCTAATTATGTGGGAAACTTTGCTGTCGATCGTCAACTCCAACGCAGATCACTTTGCCATCCGGTCTTCGTGTCAGTCTCCATGGACCCCGCTGATGCGACGCAGGCCACCCTCACCACGTTGGAGGCTGTGGCACAGTGAGCCGGCCTTGCTGGGATGACAACTCACCAAGAAAGACTCTTTTCAATTTGTTGGGAATCGAAGGCACTGAGGGTGCCGAATCATAGCCATCATACCACCGGCAGATTTGCACACAGTCTTCACCAGATGGCAGATTCCCAATGTAGCGGGCGTGGCAACCGCCCCCACAGTGGCTCAACTGGGTCTGGTATATGGGCAAGGACATGCAGATTCTTGTGCGGAATGGAGACCCGGGCAACGCCACCATCAGTCCCGGCTGTCACACCGACCACCAAAACGAATGCGAGAAAGGTCAAACTATCCCAAGTGATCAATCAAGCTGACGAAGACGAAGTGGATATACTTGACCAGGCTGTTATCACAGCCGCCTACGCTGCCTATCGCAACAAGTTTCCCGCCGGAAGCCCTACACCGATATGGCTGTATGGGGACCTTTCCAACACCGACTGCAGAAGAAGATCAAGATGAAAGGAGTGAGGTTCACCTCCGAAGGAGAGTCGTCATTGAGCTCTACGGGGCCTCTGACTTCGAATCGTGGCGGGAGTGCTACATGGTGTTCAGAACTGGTGCAATCATGTTCGAGCAGATCACGCCATCGAAGCTGGACAATGAGAAGACGATCAGACACTTCAGTGAGAGATATGGAAAGTCTTGCTGGCCCATCATCTACCAGGCAGATGTACGAGCCCGTCTCGAACATGCTGCAAGACTTCGAAGGATGGGTCAAGAAGCGCATGACCGAGCACAGCACGCGGGACTCAATCACCATTTCGATCCTGCCAAGCCCTGGGAGTGGGTTTGGGGTGAGCTGTGCATGGAAGCCCTTGGATTCTGGCATCGTGAAGTCACAGCCTTGCATGCTCTACCTGGCCAAGACGACCAACCTGAATGCCCTGGTTGAGGATGATGCCCTAACCAGGCCCAGAGAAATCGTCACTACGTCCACAAGATCGATGCCTGCACAGACTCCGCAACCATCACAACCTTCGAGACCCACCAAGAGAGCCAGAGGCCCAGACATCAGGGAGCATCGTGTTGGAGAAGATGGGAGCTTCACCCACACACGGCAAGGCATTGAGCTTTGTTGCCTATTCCAGACAGGCGAGTGCACTGAGAAAGACAGCAGACACAATTGCGCCAGAAACTCAAAGTGCCTGGCCGAAACACACGGTGCCAACAAATGCCAATCAGATGGACCAAAGCAGCCTCGAGCAAAGAACGGTCGCAAGGGCCGCGGTAAGGGCTCCAAGTGACTGGGGCCTTTGCAATCAGTGCATGAGAATTCAGAGGTGCAGATGAAGACGGATCCTTTGGGATAATCGGATAAAGTCTGAAAGCCAACCTTACTGATAGCACAGAGCCTTCGAAGCCTGGCACACACGAGGCCAGGAGTTGGGGGCAACCCGCCAATACAGCGAGATGCATTTTGCATCTATTCAGTGGACCTCACCATCGCCCGGCAGCAAAGTTGAAGAGTTTGGGATGGGATTGCAAGGAGTATGACCTATTACCTAGTTAATGGAGAGCAGGAAGATCTCACCAATGACTTCATCTGGCAACAGAGGTGAAGGCAGACTTCAGCGCCAAGTACGATGGCCTAATCGGTCCACCATGCAAAACCTTCACCAATGCCAGGAAGAATGATGGAATTGGACCTTTGCCACTCAGAGGACCGTCGGGACCGGACAGATGCGGCCTGGTACACTTAGCTGGCGAAGTAGGACAAAGTCAGAATCGGAACTTTGCTGGCACAGAGATCGGTAGAAGCTGCGATGGCCACGGTGATAGCCTTGTACATGGTCTACGTTGGGGGTCCGATTGGCCTTCAAGAAGGCTGACCGAGGAGATTCAGTGCGCCAGGATGACAGTCTTGGACCAACAAGGCCAGAATTGAGGTCAGAGCCAAACCTGAGATTGTGGAGGAGGTGAAGCAGATGACACTGCTGCACACTCCACAGAATGTCTGTGCAAAGAAAGCGTTGCCGACATACATAGGGAAGTTCAATCACATATCGGGCATCATTGAGTTCCTCAGGCCGTTCATGGCAGACCTCTACGGTGTCCTCCACGGCACCAACAACACCAGAGCACCGGCCAACTGTTACAGATTACTGGACGAAGCAGTGGCAGCATGTCACTGACTGGATGATGGCCTTCTTCAAGAATGAGGCACCCGATCTTGTCAGAGAATAGAGAGTCAGCACCTACTTCGGAGAGGGCATCAAGATGGACATTGTCACCGATGCTTCACCTTGGGGCATCGGAGGCTGGTGATCGCGGACAAACTAGCGTCCTAATTTTGATGTCCTCTGGCAGCCGAAGACGAGCGAGTGCTGCAGATTGAGATTGGGGAATCATCCTCACAGCAAGTGGCGGAAGCCTTGGCTGTGCTAGTGGCCCTCAGGGGCTGGAAGAAGATCTGGATGAAACAGCAGATCAGTTTGCAGGTGAAGAGCGACAGCAAATGGAAATTTGCAAATTCAAACTTTACCCGGTGACTCAAATCACCATTTCTTTTCAACTGCAGGACTCGGAGCTGCTGTCCGACGAGCTGGCCTCGCCGTTCTTAGTGAGTTGCCAGCACTTGTCGCATCGGCTCTTGCCGTTTCCGGAAATGCTGTCGGATCGTGTAGTGCCATTGACCAAAAGCAGTCGTGGGGCCTGCTGACCAGGTCTACCTGGAGAGCACTACCTCCAGATCAACAGGCAGGTTGGGGAGGAGAGTGGATCCCACTCCTAAAGATCCAGCCAGCTTAGCAGCGAACCCAATTTTTGGCAACTCAGGAAAATCTCTCATCGTTCTGGTAAGGAGGGTGGCATGTTGATCTGAGTGATTGTTATGTGGAACATGCAATGTGGATTTAACAATGAACGTAGATCAACAGTGGCGGGAGGAAGGCCAGATCCTGTTGTCCATTTTGGCTCACAGATGCCATAAGACCTCATGTTTTTGTTTCCCCACCCGCCCACACCATAAGCAGCCGTGGGGCCTGCTGACCAGATCTATCTGGAGAGGATTACCTCCAGATCCACTTCAGCAGCCGGTCAGGCAGGTTGGGGAGAGTGTGGATCCCACCCCCTCAAGATCCAGCCAGCTTAGCAGTGAACCCAATTTATGGCAACTCCGGGAAAATTTCTCCTACTCTGGTAGGGAGGGTGGGATGTTGATCTGAGTGATGGTTTTTGTGCAGAATAGAGTGCCATCGAAACAGTTACATTATTGAGGATCTGGGCCACTCATGGGGTACCCCCTTGAAAAATTGTGAGGGCGCTGTTTTTAAAATTATGAAGGTCTTAATAAGCAATCTATTTATTTGGGAAACCTTGCATTTTCAAGGCTTTAACATGGATATGGCTTTCTAAAGTAAATGGACCAGCTTTATCCAAAAAATGTGTATAAAGGTGGATAAAGCTCGTCCTGGAAAGATTGGATCTGAGAAAAAACTTTTCACAATAGAGCTTCCCCCCCACAAACAGCAAGATGCTCAATTAAATAGGAAGGGAAAATATCTCACAACAGGGTGCCATGATATTAATTGGAGGCTAACATGAACCACTATTTGAGTTGCGTTTGCCAGCTTAGCTAAATCCATTCAATCCCGTTAAACCCCATGAAATTTCATGAAGTCCCGTAAAACGTCTCACGAAATCCACCATTTTTCCTGATTAAACGATCTCTGTAAGACCCGGGATATCGAGGTGATCGTCCTGGAAGCACTACAAGTCAGGGAGCCTTCGCTGAGGCCCGGCAGGGGTACCCCCAGAGCTGGATGGTTTATTTCATGGAACATCCGAAAATCAAATGGATGATTTGGGGGTATCTCCTTTTTGGGAAACCACCAAATACATACATACATAGATACATTTACATACATTTACATACATTTACATACATTTACATACATTTACATACATTTACATACATTTACATACATTTACATGCATTTACATACATTTACATGCATTTACATACATACATACATTTACATACATTTACCTACATTTACCTACATTTACGTACATTTACATACATTTACATACATTTACATACATTTACATACATTTACCTACATTTACCTACATTTACCTACATTTACCTACATTTACCTACATTTACATACATTTACATACATTTACATACATTTACATACATTTACATACATTTACATACATTTACATACATTTACATACATTTACATACATTTACATACATTTACATACATTTACATATATTTACATACATTTACATACATTTACATACATTTACATACATTTACATACATTCACATACATTTGCATACATTTGCATACATTCACATACATTTGCATACATTCACATACATTTGCATACATTCATACATACATACATACATTTACATACATTTACATACATTTACATACATTTACATACATTTACATACATTTACATACATTTACATACATTTACATACATTTACATACATTTACATACATTTACATACATTTACCTACATTTACCTACATTTACCTACATTTACCTACATTTACCTACATTTACCTACATTTACCTACATTTACCTACATTTACCTACATTTACCTACATTTAGATACATTTAGATACATTTAGATACATTTAGATACATTTACATACATTTAGATACATTTAGATACATTTACATACATTTACATACATTTACATACATTTACATACATTTACATACATTTGCATGCATTCACATACATTTGCATACATTCACATACATTTACATACAGTTACATACAGTTACATACATACATACATGCATACATACATACATACAGACATACATACATACATACACACATACATACATACATACATACATACATACATACATACATATATACATACATACATACATACATGCATACATGCATTTACATACATACATACATTTACATACATTCGTGCATACACATACATTTGCATACATACATACGTTTACATACAGCTACATACATTCACATACATTTACTTACATTTTCATACATTCACATACATTTGCATACATTTACATACTTTTACATACATTTACATACATTTACATACATTTACATACATTTACCTACATTTACCTACATTTACCTACATTTACATACATTTACATACATTTACATACATTTACCTACATTTACCTACATTTACCTACATTTACCTACATTTACCTACATTTACCTACATTTACATACATTTACATACATTTACATACACTTACATACATTTACATACATTTAGATACATTTACATACATTTACATACATTTACATACATTTACATACATTTACATACAGTTACATACATTTACATACATTTACATACATTTGCATACATTTGCATACATTTGCATACATTCACATACATTTGCATATATTCACATACATTTACATACAGTTACATACAGTTACATACAGTTACATACAGTTACATACATACATACATGCATACATACATACATACATACAGACATACATACATACACATACATACATACATACATATATACATACATTTACATATATTTACATACATTTACATACATTTACATACATTTACATACATTTACATACATTTACATACATTTACATACATTTACATGCATTTACATACATTTACATGCATTTACATACATACATACATTTACATACATTTACCTACATTTACCTACATTTACGTACATTTACATACATTCACATACATTTACATACATTTACATACATTTACCTACATTTACATATATTTACATACATTTACATACATGTACATACATTTACACACATTTACACACATTTACATACATTTACATACATTTACATACATTTACATACATTTACATACATTTACATTCATTCATTCATTCCTTCCTTCCTCCCTTCCTTCATTCATTCATTCATTCACTCATTCATTCATACATACATACATATACTGTTTATTTTTTATATATTTGCATACATAGACTTTTCTATGTGCATATACAGCGCCAGCAACACACTTCTTTTATATTTTTGTAGTAATATGTGTGTTTTATGTGGTATACATGATGAAGAGGGTGTAGATGAAATGTGTGTAAAATGTGTCAGAAAAACATGTTTGGTTCTCGGTTTATCTCCATCCGTGCGGTCTATGAATTTGATGTAAGGGATGATGTTTCTCATCGATTACATTCGCGGTTGATAGTTGGGGATGTTTCTTTAAATTGGGTTTACCACCTAGAAAGATGATTTGCCAGGTGTTTTCGGCGGGTTTGGGTTGGCTCAGTAGCCGCTATTTTTTTTCTGGGTAAACCTTGGAGACTGTTTGGTTATTCATTTGTCGCTCGGCCCCTTCCGCTACCCCCCAGGTTGATCATTTGTTGCAGGGTACTTAGGATTGGCCCCGAAGAAACCACCAAGATGCTGGGGACTTTTATCGACTCTGCAGGCTGAAGGAAGGGGGCAGGGAGCCTTAGGGCCTTAGGGCAGTGCACAGCTGTGACATGTGACATGGGCAGCTGGGCAGCTGGGCTCATGTTGGATGCAGCCATTGCATGCTCAATAGCAGGCTGGAACAGGCCGAGGGAAGATGCCACGCAACGGGCCGGATAATTTTTTACGAAGCTCCAGAGGCGCTAATGAAATGGAACTGTGCAAGTTGGATCCGGGTTTCTGAAAGCACCTGTATCCAACACCAAAGGCGTCTCACGAACGTTCTTTGTAGATGTTTGTAGAAGCACTGTTTGTAGTTGGATATAGCATCTTTGATTCCACCTCCAGATCAATTTGGAAAATTTCACACCATAAAACCATCTCAATGACAGGCCAGGAGCATGGTTTTACTGCGCCTTCACGATCCCAAGTGTAAGATTTCCTGTGCGAAGACAGTATATGAAGTCATCAACAGGTTTCAATTTTTTGTTTGTTCATTCCCCCTAGGAGTATGCTCTACCTGGCTCGTATTTTTCAAGCGAATTGCTCAAAAAACAACTGGGTAGGATTCTACATAATCGCAATGCAATGGAACATTTAAATCAATGTAGAATACACCCTTGAAATCCCTAGAAACTTTATAATCGTTGAAACCTAGATATGTGATTACCAGCATCGGATGACGGGAAACAATGCGGCAACACATATATTACAGTAAGCGGCGGTAAGGACAAGGGTATTTGGTTGACATGTTCCCTTAAACACAACCACTGACTTTGAGTTCTATGGAATCAATGGAATCCCATTGTACACCCAGTATATCTAAGTATATCCCAATACATCTATCATTTTATTGCATGGAACCAACGACAACACTTCTGCATCTCTCAGCGGCGCTTCCCATGCCGCGGCTGGCTGTACTTCGACCTCCAGCCTCCTCCGATGTGAGCGTGGAAGTCGGCAACGTATCGACGGTGGTCCTGGGCAATGAGAGGCCGGTGGTGACTAACCCAGCTGAACAACTGGGTGCTACAATAGCATATAAAGTTGGGCAAGTAGAGTTAGCAATTGTAGTTGCGGTTATAACTTTTACTTTAATTATATTGATTTATAACTTATAACTTATAACCCACTTTGCAAGTAGGATGAACCACCAAGTAGCCTTACCTGTGGCCCAATCATATTGGCAGAAACCTTGGTAGAAACCTGCCAATACGCGGGGAAAATGGTGACAAGTGTTAGACATTAATTTTCTAGGAGTGTGAAACTAGAAACCAGAAAGAACGTTTTAGACGAACATGGTGTGACCAAAACAGAGTCTATCCACCAAAACGGAAGTAGTCAAGTCTTGTACGGGCATACTCTCTGCTAGTTAAACATGGCAAGGGAAACACATGTTTTTCATGAACCATTTATCTGGGATTTCCCAGCGAGTCGTGTTTGAGGGACCTTTCTCTTTGAGAACCCTTGAGGTATCTTGGGACCGGCCCCCTGTGTTGGGTCCCATCAAGAAAAGGTGTGATTCAGACCACGACATACCACGACTGGTTATCATCCCGTAGGATTATGCCTTATATCAATCCTCATCATGTTATATTATGATATATTACGTATGTATCATTTTATGATGTCGTCTCGCTATGTCTCGCTGTTCTACATTTTACGATGATATTGTTGATATCCTTTTGGATGTCCTCTAACCCCAAGGAAATGTCATATTCTATTATTAGTCTATAGGTGGCAGGTGTCAGCACATCACCAGGGTGGCAGTCGATGCGATTCTGGACGACGATGCGTGCATTTCCTGGGCATCAACAGCGATGCTCGAAAGCGCCCTCGAAGGATTTAGCAGCTCAGCAGCATGGGTCAACCGTTTCCTTTGGGTCAACCTTGGTAGTTGTGGGTATTGTACTAACTATTTCTTGGCTATAAATGGTGCATGTTCAGTAGCCAGCAGCTTCTAGCGCCCGGATTTTTGCGACCGTTTTTGAAGCTAAAACAAGCCTGGCTTTCACAGGGAAACAGTGTTTGAATGCTACAGTTTGAAGCCCCCATCAGTCAATTCTTCTATGGCGAAGGAAAGTAATTCGAAACCTGCGGACAGTCTTTGAATTTGTTCTTTTAAATATGTCAACAATGAATATTTCAAATCAAGCCACATGCTCATCCTTTCCTGGAAATGGTTTCAAGGAAGGTCTTCATAAAACCTCAAATTTGTGTTGAACATGTTGAAAAGAAAACAGAAGAAAGTAATGTTTCCTGATATTTCCCAATGATTCCTGTCAGTATTCCTTGGATCACCAGCTCATTGATCCTTCCCAGCAGTGCCGAGGTCATGGTTTGGTCCTCCATGGGGCACCACAGGGGCAGCTGATCCCTCGGTTGTTGCTGCATTTGGGCGACCAGATTCAGCAAAAAGGCTACCAGCTGTGGCCGCTTGGAGCGTGGTGAAATGGCCATGAAATGGCCGCAGGTTCCATCTTTTTCCATCTGTTTTCTAAGCGAAGAAAAAGGTCGATAAAGCATCAACGGGTTGCTTCACCATCAAGAACCGTGGTTTTAGCATCCAGTTGTGGGAAGCGAGGCGATCTCTGTAATTAGGGCTAAACGGTGGGCAATCAAGTGGCTTAAAGCATGTTAAACCCCTTGGAGGTATGGAAATATGGTTAACTACACAGCTTATTTCATCTTATTTTGCCCGTATTTCCATGCATTTCCAAGAGTGGCATCCATACCTGTGTTAACTTGTCATGTATGGTCTAGCAACCCCTAAAAAGATGGAACAGTGTTTCCAGCAGAATGGTAAAGATGATATTTCCCCCCTTGCAATCACCCTTGTTTTGTCATGTCGTGCATGAACCTTTTATCATGAACTGACCTACCCATAGGGTGGGCTCGAGCTAGCCAGCAGAAATAGATGCAGCGGCCTGCTGATTTGTGCCCTTCTGTTGGGCGTGTGTCTTGACCAATTGTATGGTCACCAAAGCTACCTGGTGACCTTTGGCGACTTCAGGTGGTGCCATGCCTGAGCATGGCAACGAAACCGTTCCTGAATGGAATGGTGACCCGGCTGCATTCGAAGCCTTGGTTAGATATCATGTCCTACCTCGTCTGACATTTTGCGAGCACCTGCCAATTGCCCGGTTTCTTTGGATGACTTGGTTGGAACCAGAGGCCCCCTCAAGGAGGAACAACATCCACCATCACTGACACTGTGGATATCCAGCGAAACTTTCTGATCGCTGGATTTGGTGAGACTCGATTTGAGCTGGTTGATATCTCTCCGAAGCCAAAGCGATAATGAGTACCTCCACAACAAGGTGAAAAGAGAAAGGCAGAAGAACCTTTACAGCCTGGAGAAGAAGAAGGTGACATGGATGGTTCAGCTGAAGCTGAACAACCTCCAGCATCAACAGGAACTTTGGCACAAGCGCTACGATCACGAGGACCTGGATGGCACACCGATGCCTACGACCTCAAGTTCAACATCGTACGCAGCGCCGGGATGCATGCTATCTAGTGGACATGGTGGATATCATCGAGATCAACAAGGAGCTGAGTTCCTCTACGGCAGACAAGCTGGACATCGTACGGTGGTATCCCATCCTGAAGATGATCATCCAGATTCCTCTTCAACAAGCCCGGAGAAGATCAACAAGCTGTGAGCGATGCGGACGGACACTTTTGTGGCGATTGACATCCCCACGACGATGGAGGACTTCAAGTGGCCTTGGCAGTCGGGCCCCGTAGAACGAAAAGTGCCAAAGGGCAGGTCCGGAACCTCTAAAAGAGAAGAAGTTGGGCCTACTTGAAGGCCTTGCGTGGGGCAACTTCAGCCTTGGCAGTCGGGCCCCGTAGAACGACAAGTGCCAACGGGCAGAGCGCCGCGGAAGAATCTGGCTTAGCAAGAAGTCAGAGAAAGGAAAAGAAGTGGACTGGATGAAGCTGCCGCTGAGTCGAAGCAAGAGTTTGACACAGCTATGGTACGTGTGAAATCTCCCAGGTGATCATCTCGAAGGCCTTGAGAGACCTCAATGAGAACGAGCTTGCCCGTCTGGACTCCCGAAAAGTCATGTCCATGCGGTGGGTTTTGACGAGGAAGTCATCAGGAGAAGCGAAAGCTCGTCTGGTCATTTGGGCTTCCAAGCACCGAATATCACCGAGATTGGAATGTTTTCGCCTACAATGAGTAAGGCGACCCCCATCCCTTCTACGCATCAAGCTTGACCTTCCGAATCAAATGCGGGGATGTCACTTCGGCATTCCTCCAAACCGAGATATCTTTAGAGGATGAGGAGCTGGCCGTTTGGGCACCGTCGGAACCGGCGACCATGTTCGGAGCCGATCCTCATGATGCCCGAGCACTATACGTGTCCGTGAAGCATTTTATGGTCTGTATCATGCACCTCGAAACTGGTGGCAGAAATGTGTCATGACCATGAAGGAGCTTGGATGGACACAGCTCAAGGGCGATAAGTGCGCTTTTATCCTCGAGACAAGGAGGACCCCGAGAAGCTGGTTTGAGTTGCAGGGATCCATGTTGACGATTTCCTCATCGGCAGCGACTCTTCGTCGACAACCTTCACAGAAAGTGAGGCAGCTTTGCGGAAGACTTTCAGATGGGGAAAATGGCAAGAGGAAAGGGTTTGCCGGTGTCAACATTCGGCAGAACTCCGACTACAGCATCTTCCTCGACCAGGAGAGCTACACGCAGAAATGGTTGGATGAGATCAACATCGACAAGATTCAATCACGCAGTGCACCATTGCAACCAAGCGAGATCTCAGAACTTCGTGGAGCTTTGGGGACCATGCCATGCAGAGCTACGCAATCTGGACCACAGTTCTTGGCAGAGACAAGTTTGCGTCTTTCAGAAATCAGTCGAGGCACTGTGGAGACCCTCTACAAGGGAAACAAGCTGATCCAAGAAATCAAGCATGAGGCAAAGACTGGATTGCTCTTTCCACCTTGGGGCAAGCCGATCTCTGAGCTTTGTGTTGTGGCTTGGGCTGATGCCTCTCAACGCAACCACCCTGACAAGAGCAGCACAGTGGGCATCTTTACAGCAGTTGCATGGACCTCGAGAAATCATGGATGGCGATGAAGCGCAGCTTGCGCTTGTTTAGTGGCGCTCCGGAAGAAGTTCAAGCCATTACTATTGGAGAAGACCAGAATGTGCATATAGGATGTTGCTTGCTGAATTCTCTTGGGTAGAAGTCACCCGAGAGAACCTGTCTGACCTGCTAAAATGGTCCCTGGAGCCAATGCCATGGATAGCAGAGAGGCATCTACGACGCCATGGTGAAGAACACGTCACCACTACATGGTTTAAGGGATTTGAGATCTGGCTATGAGCTGACGCTCTCAGTCAACCAGAGTCAATGGCAGGAACGAAATTACGTTGGGTCAATGGACTCTCTCAATTAGCTGACTCCCTGACCAAAGCAAATGCCAAAAAGACCTTACTTCATCTTACTTCAGTTTTTATCTGGAAAACAATTCTGGTGCCTTGTCCACAATCCGAAATGCGAGTCGGGCCGAAGAGTTCATAAGCGAGAGATGGAACGAAAACTTCGCGAGATGGAACAGTTCTTTGTCCAAGCAGAACTGGCCATGGACAGAGATTGGTGATGCGCCTGTACAATATGATCCATACACCTGATAAAAGGTCCAGGAAGTATGGTTGGTGCAATCAGATGAAGCTTTTATCATGAACTGACCTGCCCATAGGGTGGGCTCGAGCTAGCCAGCAGAAATAGATGCAGCGGCCTGCTGCGTTGTGCCCTTATAGGTTGGGCGTGTGTCTTGACCAATTGTACCCCTTAATTCGCAGGTGTACAACGTTTCTTTCGTTTTGGGGTTTACTATTGTGAAGCGGGCGTCAACCTGTCCATCAATCAACCAGTGGGAAGCCTGTGGATTGCAGTGCTTGGATGTCAGGGCTGGTACATGGTCTCACTTCTCTCTCCCGGAATTGGTTTTATTAAAGGCAAATCAGGTCTTACCCCTAGATTTGAAGATAACAACCAGGTTTTTCAACAATCAACTTTCCCTAAACTCATCCATTGCCCATTCAATCCCCTAGCCACCCCATGACATCCCATGAAATCCCCCATGAAATGCCCCATGTCCCGGCGTCCCCGCCGGCCAACAGTGCCAGGTTTACCGCCCTGGAGCTGCTGGAGGATCAGCTGCTGGATCAGCAGCTGGATCTGTTGGCCACGGGGCCCTTGGAGCGCAGGGAGCCGCCCCGTTTCGTGCTGCATCCGGGCGCCTCGGTGGAGCAAGGGAGGGGCGGTTGGTTGAAATGACGCGCATCTTGCCGCATGTTGTTGTTTTTTTTAACCACCAAGCAGTTGTGGTTGTAATGATCACAGAAGATAAGTCATCCTGGGAATCGATTATTTAAAATAGTTTCTGATTTTTTGCATGATGATCCTTCTCTTTCGGAAGGCAACAGTTTGGTGGATGCTGGTGGAGGACGAATCATTCGTGGATTTTTTCGGATTGGATGATCTTATCGTTTGGTCCGAAAACAGTTAAGATAGGTAAGCCTACCCCGGTTGGATTGTTTGATTATCTAAAGGATGTTCTTTATTTTGCAAATCCGGTAGGTTGAGGGTCGAAGCAATCAAAGCAACTGAATCCATCAGCATGATGTCAAAAGTACAAGAAAAGTGCAAAGATAATTCCCATATGTTGGTTGCATGAACCATTTTACAACATCTTAAAACCGGGTTTCATGCACTATTATATATATATATATAATCTCCAGAATTTTAAATGTCATAGTGCGCACATATATATATATAGATAGATAGATATAGATATAGATATAGAAGATATAGATATATATATATATATCAGGCATCCAAGCGGATATATATATATAATTACATATTATATGGTTGTGTGTGTGTGCGTGTTCTTTGTTTATCTTAGCATATAACCTTTGAACTTTCCATGAAAATCCATAGAAATCATCAGTCAAATCCCGCCAGGTCTTGGGACGCACGCGGTGGGCGCCTCAGAGGTGCCGATCTCTGACCACGCGGAGCTAAAGGAGCGCCTTGTCGGACACTTTGGGCACCGCCCAAGGGTGGTTAGTTGGTTGATTTGTGACCACAATTAACTAGAGGTTGGTACAGGTTAATGTCCACCTCTGATTTATAAGTAGGGCCCCCCCCCCTCTCTTTTCCCCTAAATAGACTTAAAACCACCATAAAATTTGTTTGTATGTAAAGGTTTTCAATTACCACAGATTAAAACGAATACATAAAATGCAATTTCAAAAAAAATGGAGTCCAACAATTGTTAGTTTTAGTATTGATTTAGTATTGATCTAGTATCATGTCATGGATTTAGTACTGATTTAGTATTCATGTCATGGATTTAGTATTGATCTAGTATCATGTCATGGATTTAGTATTGATTTAATATTCATGTCATGGATTTAGTATTGATTTAGTATCATGTCATGGATTTAGTATTGATTTAGTATTCATATCATGGATTTAGTATTGATTTAGTATTCATGTCATGGATTTAGTATTGATTTAGTATTCATTTCTTGATCAGCGGGAGGGGGAAACTCAGTAGCTTTATTCAGGGTCAAACTCTAATTGGTGCTAAGGCACCTCATGGGGGGTACCCTTGATGAGTTGATTTGGAGTTGATTTTGGATAATTTTGAATCAAGGTTTTGAATAGAAAGAGCATCCATCATTTTTGAAAATTTCCAGCTATCATTTTTGAATAAAGGTTTTGGTCAGCCCCATCTGGGCAAATCTGTGTTTAGGGCCAAAAAATAACCTAGCTATCTATGTAGCCCTACCTTGTGGAAATGTACGAAATGTGCTAAGCAGATAAAGAGCTTGGATTAACAATGTGATTGAATTGGAATTGATGTGATGCATGGGTTTTATGGTCTTTATTGCAATCAAAGATAATGTTTTGGGTGTGATTGAGATGGAAATATGGTGGAACAGTAGTGGATTAAGGTGATATGATTCTGGTATATTCATGGGATTAATGAGACTTGTGTTAATCCAACATTATGTCACTATGCTTTGGTGAGATTCATGGGGTGGCCTCTGGCAACACAGCAGTTCGCTACGGGAAATTATGGAAACAGGCCATGGAAATTGGCAAATAGGCAAATAATCTAGAAATTGGTAATTTGTTACCAGAGGGTGTGATAGTGAGATCAATCAGGTAGACCTTACAATAATAGAGATTTCATCCAAAGAAGAACGGATATCATTGGGATTTCACCATCGCCTATATGGGCATTGGGCTTTCCACAGCAACCATAATGAGCAGCAAGTTCCCCCAGATAACCATTTGAATGGATTCTGAGATGACACCAGTTGCAGAATTTGTGATAAGTTGGTTGTCATTTTTACAGTAGAGTCGCGCGTCTTTGACCGAGAGATATGGATGGTTCAACAAACCGTGAGTGGGTTTGCCAACAAAGTGGACTGGATTCCAATGATTCCAATGTTGATTTGACTCCCCGAATTTAACACAAACTGAGATCTACAGTTACGGCCATTATTCGTTATTAACTGGTTATAAATGGGATTATACATTCTTTAAATGATGTTATATGGATGTTGTACATTCTATACATTTATTAATTATAACTGGTTATTAGTTATAACTGGTTATTAGTTCTAACTGGTTATTAGTTATAGCTGGTATTTCGGGCCATAACTGTAACTTCAAATCAACATCACTCAGGTGGATCTCTTTTTCGCAGAAGAGGCGGGTGCTGACCAGCAGCTGCCTGCATGCTGCCAGCAGCAGAAGTCATCAGCTGTTTTTCCTGCGATTGGAAGCGGGGCAGATCCACAGCAGGTTGGGAATTTTTGATCTCAGATCCAGCCCTTTGGCTGCAAGAAAAATTTGGGGCTGATGATTATGATGGCTGATGTAACAAGAGGCATCAAGAGGCTATGAAATCTATGGAAGTATCAGACAGACTGTGAAACAAACAGTGCAATGGACATATCCATAAAATATCCTATGTTGATCTATTTCGCTGGGCCAGATAAGAGTTGATTCGGTTACTGCAACACTGTATGCATGCCAACTTCAGAAGGAGCAGGGATCCTACATTGAATTTGTCTGGGCAAGTGCGGACGAGGTGACCCCGGCATCGCAAATTCAGGGAAGCACGAAACCTCAAGGTGCTGACCTTCAACAGGTGGTTTATGACAAACAAAAAATTGGTTTGTTGGGCCAATGATGAGTATGTAGCTAGGGCTCTCCACTATGCATGCGTTTCCCGCGTGCCCAGGTGCGCCGAGCCGCTCGGTACCTGCAGATCTCACCACCTTAGAAAGCGTTTTGCAGAGCTGCCATCACCCTTTGGCATGCAAATTGACCATAGCTTTGAAGGACCAGAGCAGACACAACACCCTGGTGCAAAAGGGCTGGGCATAGAGTGGTCGATTCACATTCGTTTTTGTGACACAACCTTGGCTGGGTACTTTCAGACTATGGTCATACCCAAGCAGTGAAAGAAAACGGTAACTTCCCAGAAAAATACTGAAGATTCACTTTTTTTTCCTATTCCTTTGGGGGTTAGGTTCGCTGGGCATTGTAAAAGTTTAAGCAGGAAATTGTTCTTGCCTTGTGGGACTTCTGCGTTGAGGTTGCAGAGGCAGCGTTTCTGATTTGGTTTGCTGTTCTTTTGTCAACAAAAAATCTTTGGAAACTACTTGAACTGAACTATAACCTTTTGCTATATAAATGCTGACAAGTGATATGAAGAGATTCACGTTTTTCATGCATTGACCAGCCACAAAAAGCAATCGCATGGTGTCCATTGGCCATGTGGAAAGGTCATGAAAGGTCTTGGGAGGTGCATGGGTATCATCAACTACCAGTTATAGCAGCCCCATATCCCAACTCATGGGGGCCTTACTGTTAAAATCCCCCATGGTTAGACCAGGGCCCAGGGACCCAGGGGGCCATTTTCAGGACCTTCTCACCGGCACCTGGCATGGTTCCGTGCTGGCGGAGGGAAGCCGTTCCAGCTTCCGCTGGCTCAAAGCCTGGGCGTGGCTGGGAAAGCATGGGGGGATGCCCGGGATCAGGGAATGAGGGAATGGGATGATTCACAGCTGGATTGAATATGGATTGAATCATTCGTTACCAAGTTACCAAGCACCTATGATAAGTAAAGCTTCAGGAAAACTGTGAAGAAAACAAAGACCTATGATATTTTGAAGAGTGTGTCGGTTCAGGCCCCTAATAGAACAGTCATGTTTCTTGCAGGATCTTGGGCCAATTGTATGAAATTTCAGGGGTTCAGGAAGCGGCCTGTGGAGATGAAACCATCTTCGCCAAGGCGTCCTCGGCTCTTGTGCTCACTCACGAAGGGCCTGCCGCGAAGTGCACAACTGGAACTGCTACAGGGCGAGGTTCAAGCGCTGAAATTGCAGACGCCGGATGAAACCAGGCAGGTTGCAATGGTCTTACTAATTTGAGGGTATGGGACATCGGACTGGGATCTATCTACCTAGGGCTTTGGCGATGTAGGGGCATATAAACTCAGCTCATCATCATGGTAAGCTGAGCGATGTTCAAAACACTGGTTGATGATTCTAGGGGATTATACTACCCAATATATTGGGAATTATCATAATCCATTAGCAAAATCCCCTGGAATCCCTACTATTAACCAATCAGCTGGAGTTGCCACATCGGCTCATCAGGTCAGAAGCCTTGGCTCAGCGGAGCGCTTTGATCTTGGAATTCTCCAAGCCCCTTGGGCCGTCTTCCCACAAACCAAAGGTACAGGAGGGAACCATTCGAGAGATCTTAAGAGTTAAAGAAAAGGGCTTGCAGCTTTCATATCTCTATTTTTCTCATCTACATTATGACATTCATCATGTTTTTCCTTTTTATCACTTCACCAATCGGATTGGCCCTCCCGTCCTAGGAAGCCTTTGGACCGGCGGCGCCTGGCACGGGAGCGGGTGAAGACTTACGAGTGGTGCGGGGTGATGACCGAAGAAACCCAGGAGGTCTTGCAGCAGGTCAGACAGGGATGGCGCAATGTGTATCTTCGGGATTGGACATGGATGACTGCGGTCGTGACCTAAGGGACCTAAGCTGTTCGCCAAGTCACCATTGAAACCGGTTCCTTGTTTGGGGAGATGTCTCTATTTCAGAGGGTTAAACATCATGACTTCCTTGTGAAATCATGGTGAAACCTTCCGGGAAGGTGATGTTTATTGATGAAATGCGTAGAACACTGCTGCTACCGTCAACGACCACTTGGGTTGGTTCAATGCAAATAGATCGATTTTGATGGTGAGACATATCCAGGTCCAGTTCAACACCATTGTTTCTATTTAGTTATATAAATAATATAATATATGGATATGATATATATATATATGTATGTATACATATGGATAATTCCCAAGTTTTGGAGCCCAAAGTTTTTTCTTTGGGGGGAATGTTAAGATGCGAAGAACCTAGCGATGTGTTTGTCCCATTCTCCAGGAGCTAATGACTCCCTACTTGCTGAACATGTCGGATGACGCCTCGTTGGCCGGATCTTTGATGTACCTGCTGCAGAGGGGCGAACGGACCAGCATCGGCAGCGACCCCGACAACACCATCGTCTTGGATGGCTTGGGGATGCTGCCGCAACTGGGATATACTTTAGGATTTTCTGTGGGATTTATAGATATTTATAGGGCTTAGCCACTGGAAATCAAACTGGCTAGCGGGAAAATCAGAATGCTGGTAATGGGAGATCCCCTATGGAGGTTCTAATGGGAAATTCATCAATAAATAGTGCATTTTCAATTGCCCTGTTTGATTACCGGAGGGTAGATGCAATCAGAACCTCGGCCAATGTTAATTACTACGAAATGATGCTGAAGCAAATTTGTCCAAACTCACAATATGTCAGGTTGGTAGGTTTGACTCTCTCTCTCTCTCTCTCGCTTGCTCTTTACATATATAGATATATATATATATATATATGTATGTGTGTGTATCTATATATATATATATACACTGTATATTTTTATTTGTACATCTATATCTATATAATTATCTATATATCTATACTATACATATATGTCTATATATCTATGTTGTGGCCATCAGTCATCACTGTTTTTTAATCTTCCCGCCAGATTTCCGGTAAAGGTTGCGCTTGGATGCTGCATTTGCGCTTAATCTCAGGGTGTGAGAAGATTGAGAAGCTTGTGGGAATGTCCCATTGAAATACCACCAGTAGCGGCTCCATTCCATCTGAATGACTGGGCGAGTTACCCTTTTGATAATTTGACAGTTTGCCATGGTAAATCAATGCAAATCACCATTAAAAAAACAAACAATGTGAATCATCTATAGATGGCACATCTTCCAGGGCAAAAAAGTGTAAGAAATGACCGGAGTGGGTGGCCGCGGTTCTCGCCGCTTAAGTTACCCAGTTACCCTCCCAGACCTAGCGAAAAAGCCAAGGAACCTTTGCAGCATTGTCAACCTGGATGACTTCAAGCTTACCCTGAGCCGTCCCGACTTTGCCAAGGATCATGTCTTGGTGAATGGAAAAACCATGGCCAAGGATAGCATCGTCCTTTCACATCATGATCGCATCTGTTCCCAGGCCGCATTCACTGGGAGGACCTGTGCGGCAACATGACATGGAGCTATGAGCCGTTGAAGGATCATCAACCATAGTTGCCATAGGTTTGACACACACACACACATATATATATATATTTATATAATTATATATATATATTATTATAATTATATAGCAACCCCCAAAAAGACGGAAAAACATATTTCCCGGATGGGAAAGATGCCGCTTTCTCCACCACTTATAGGGTGTTCATAACTTTTTGGCGTATGCTAAATCGATGCTATAACTATGCCAGGCTGCCACCGGGCGCAGCCCAGCTGTAGGTCTTGGGCGTGCGCAGATGGTGAAGCTACACATCCCGCATCAAGGGGTTGAGACCATCCAGGAAAGCGAGGAAAAGTTGGGCCTGCAACCCTTGGACGCTTGGGAATGGCGGTGGAAATCTAAAGCTGTGGCGGAGGAAGATGAAGTGTCAATTTTAACGGTTTTTTTTTGGGAGGGGATGGTTCGAAGCCTCGAATTTATAGCTATTCATATTTGGGGGGATGAACATGTGGTACACCCCCCAAGTTATTGGCAATTTAGAGAGCAAACGTGATGAACCAGCAGATTTAGGGGGTTCACTATGTTTAGACAGCTATACGTTGGGGGATGAACATCCATCGTTCCAGCGATTTTGATGTTCACTGGGGTGACAGTTTCTTGACCCATGGCTAAATGATATCCATGACATTTTTTCCAGGGACCAATGGAAGCTCATGGGAGTGAGGGGCCCATTGCTGCTGCTGGAAGTTCACTTGGCCAATTCAACATAAATTTGAGATCTGGACCGAACATTAGCAAAATTAGCAAATGGAAATTTAGAAATTTATTTCTAAGATTTCCTCAAATGGAGATTTCAACATACATCCCCCCAGAGATTGGCCTTGTGAGGCAGGTCGGGATTCATCTGCACTGGGGGTTTCCACTAATGGGGTACCCCAAAAGTAGATGGTTTAAACACGTTTAAAGATGGAACATCATATCATCATTTGCCATCCATATCATCCACCTATGGCCATGTTTGGCATGGTCGATTTGTGACGGGTGACCCTTTACCATGCAAACGCCCATATGTACTGAAAACAAAATAGCTGCAACATAGATGGAACACGACACACACACATATATATATATAATATAGCCCTTGACAAAGATGTACTATAGACTATATCTCTGGTTGGTGGTTTCAAATATTTGTTATTTCCCATAATATATGGGATAATCCTTCCCATAGACTAATATTTTTCAAGATGGTTAAAACCACCAACCAGTATAATTGGCCCTTCACAAAGATAGCCATGGACAACATGCCATAGCTTGCGCCGACGGAGCGCCAAGGAATGCCTACTCCCGGAGGACTTGGCCGGCTTTCTTCCGCCCTTGCCCCGGTACGCCGGCGAGACCTGGGAAGTTGGGGAGAAGGACTTGGTCATTTTCACCCATGAAACAGTCCTGGATACATATGGTAGGAAGCAAAAAATCTGCAATGATTTCTATATCAAAAAATAGGTGTCTCTAGAACAATCCATTTGGCGGGGTCCCCATCATTTGAGTCACGTCTTTTGAGAGAACACCCCTGTTCTTGATCCAGGTTTGGATTCTGAGTCCCCGAGTCCATTTCCGATTTGGTATATAACATAATAAGACATGACAATCATAATAAACCATCATAGACCAATAAGGAAACATGGAAAGCAAATGACACCAGTTTAGTTAGCCATAAGAATAAAACCATAACAAGAATTGGAACAATTCCCCAATTTGCCAATCACAAAGCAGCAATAAAGTAGTCTGAGGCAAGGCTTTGAGGTGAACTTTGCGAACCTTCAGCACCTGCTGGAGCATTCTGAGTCGCTAAGCCGCTGGGCGCGATTTCACCCGACCCCGGGGACCCCGGGGACCCCGGGCGACCAGCGATGGCCAGGATTTCACCAAGAAATTCGGAGGGAATGGGTTGCACCAACTATCAGGACATGAGATGGTTTTGTGTAAAATGCTGGATTTACCTCCAATATCCCCCCAATATGTAGCATTTTTTTTACATAGGGAAGTGAGGTGGCATTCGGGGTTTCAGACATGTGGATGAATAGGAAGTTTCCCTGATTTGGGGTGGGTTGCAAAGATAGCGGTATAGTGAGCAAAAACATTCTTCATTATTTCCTGTAATCGCGACACATGGAAAACTTTAATTAATTCAGGTCAAACATATATATATATACAGTAAATAATCACATTTGCATAATCAAGAAGACATGAAGACACTAAGTGGAACTAGAGAATATAAGCCTTAGCTATTGGGATAAGAAAAAACGTTTAACAGCGTTATTTGACGGGAGTTTAACAAACAAATGATTGGCATTGGTGGCTATTGGTTTTCCAGTTATGGCCGGTTTTCCGAGATGCACTTGGAAATTATCCCCTAAAATGAAGCCACCGGCATGGCATGGTGCGGCACGCCGTGCCCTAGGGAATCTCCAGTACTACGTCAAGGATCTGTTGCCCAAGCTCTCCGCCACGGCCCAGCTCGCTTGTTTCGAAACCTTGCGAAAGGCATGGGGCAGGGAGGAGCTGGGTGACAGGAGGCCACCGTTTAACACCAGGCATGCCACGGTACTATGGCCAGTTTCCCAGGAAACTGCCTTTCTAAACCGTGTTATTCTCATCATCACGGGGTCTCCCATTTGAAAAGACAAAATGATTGCTTGTATGCCAACGGGTAGTTCTTCGATTTTATCCATCTCTCACTATCATAAGTCTCTACTTCTTTAAGTTATATTTATTTTCACTGGATTGTTTTTTTCGTTAATCTAAATGCTGCAATATATGGTTAGGAGACTATCAAGAGATGACATCATAAGCAATTTTTTTATAATCTTGAAACGGGCTTCGGTTCAATCAATGATACCCTCAAGAAAGCGAAGGAACAAGACCAGACCATCAACAGGGTGGATGTGGAAAACTTCCTGAGGAACCAACCCAATAAACAGAGTTGAAAATACAGGGGTTCAATTAATTACCCACCCAAACACAAGCAAAAACCCTAACAACCTCAACAATTCCCCCCCTCATCTGAACCAAATATTGACACATCACTTTAGCACCAAAATGACCCCCCAAATCCCACCTGCAAAAGCATCAAAGGTGAAGATGAATCATTGAACCCCAACATAAAATCATAACAAACAACATACAAACATATACGCCCTGAATCCCCCATTTTCAATTTTTTCCCAGCTATATCCTCATTATACTCCCATTCTATCTCGATTTATAGTTGGTGTTTACATATGCTCCAAGTCGACTTGGGGTATCTTGGGGTCCCTTTGGGCATCGCGACCAAATCGCAGGCGTGCTATTTGGTGGATGAGGCGAACATGATCACGCGGGAAGTCCGTCCCGAGGAATTTTCTGTGCGGAACATGGGGGAACCGGGGAAGGCATTTTTCCGGGAATACGAGGGAAAAGGGAGGTGGTATAAACTGTAGTATAAACCAACAATAGTTGGGATACAATGGGAATATCACGGGTGCAGAAACCATCAATCTGCTATTTGATTTTGGATTTGTTTGGGGTATATCAATCCAATGTACCAAAAACGGCCATTTAAGAAGGAACATGATGAATTGGAAGGGGAGAACCTTTTTTTAGACCCCAAATGTGGCTACGACTGGTCGCTTCTGCCATTCGGACGAAAAACTATGTTTTGTTAATGTGTATAGATACCATGAACATGATGGAATTAAGACTGGTAAAGTACATTTCTATGTTCTTGGGCTCAATTACGATATGTTTTTTTTGCCATGTTTACTGTTACTATGTTCTCCTGATGCTGAGCCGGTAACGCAGATACATGTCGGCAGTCTCCAAGGCGCACATGTGGCGAGTGGCATTCAATCATCATCCACCCCAGCATCATCCTAACATCATCCCATCTCCAACCATCATAAAATTACTTTGCGTCAAATTAGAATACTATTCAAGGCATTTTTCATCATCCATCATCCCACTAAAAAGGCCGTGGTTTTCCGCTGTTTTTTTTCCCCAGGACCAACTCCATTTCGAAGTGGACTTGGTTTGGGACATTTTTCGACATCCAGAAGAGGTCCTGGTGAAACTTGCTGAAAAATGTGGGGTTTGTCAAATAAGAATGGGCTGCCCCAAAATTGGGAGAGAGGGACGCCACCAGGGCCCCTTTTTTCCAGTGTTTTGTGATGTTTTTGTGATAATATATGTATTTGTACTCATAGCCCAGAACTTTTTGTTTTTGATTATTCCTGTGCTTTTTTTTGGTTATGTTATATACTTTGTTTCGGTTGCATTGCTACTTGTTGTATATTTCATTTGGTTCTGGAAAGTTCATATAGAATAGCATAGTAAGTAGGGGTGTAGATAGAGCCCACATCCTTGTTTTTTGTTTTTATGTTGCAAAACATAATATAAATAGACCCATGGCAAGCAACAAATTCAATCTCTGTATCTTCACATGAAATGCAATATACACAGTTGTGTTACAATACCCAAGAATGATTAATGACATCAGTCAAGCAAATCTCTATGTTGAACAAGTAACCGTTTTGACATCACCATATAAAATTGTTGATGCAACTGTATCACTATTGCTTAGATTTGGTGGTTTCTACCGAAACACACACACTAAAATACGGCCTTGCAACATCATTGGAAATGCAGGCAGTTGTAGTTGCAAAGGTTATATCAGGGATTCAATCATTACAGGATTCGATGTTTTGTCCCAAGGTTCTCCGGTGTGAAACAACATGGTTGGTATGAATCACAAGAGCTACTTATCAAGAAATAATGACAAAAATGTGAGCGCAGATCTTGATGGCTCTACCAAGTCTTGCAATCAAGTGCAAACTTCATCACAAACTAGCAGTGCTCATGAAAAGGCATGGAGCAAATCACTTTTCTCACATATGTACAGTACAAACTCATTTTCTCAACCTTTTAGGGCACATGGAAAATATAAGAATACTTAGAACCAATCTTTGAACAACATGGCAAAATCGATCTTACAAGCACGTTGCAGTGATCACCTCCAACCCATCACATGCATGGCCATTCCAGAAACTTAGAGTCTCATGTACGAACTTATGGCAATCAATTGTGTATACATGTGTGTTCTTGTCAGTGGGGCCTAGCTGAACTTGTACATGTTTCTTTGGCAAGCCAACAATCCAGGCAAACAGGAAACTTTGCAGATAGTCTCACATACAACCTGCCCTAGCTACACAAGCAGATAGCAGACATATACATGACTCATCATCATGTTTTGGGAATTTGCACATGACATGTTCTTCATTGGCAATGCCTTTGCAGAGTGGTGAGTTGCAGGTAGTGTCACGTACAAGCTGCACTAGCTACACAAGCAGATTGCATACATATACATGACTCACCATCATGTTTTGTGAATTGCACATGGCATGTTCTTCATTGGCAATACCTTTGCAAAGTGGTCAGTTGCATCATGCTGTTTTTTCTGCTATGCGATGAATTTTTCCAGCTAATATGGAAATAATATGGAAAGAAAATCCTGCAATCTAAATCTGTGAGTGAATGTGCTGATCAAGCAATTTGGTTATATAGCCTAAATGGAGTTTGCTTGTGGCCAGCGCAATCAAGAGAGAAAAAAACTTCAAGGGTATACCTACATATATATAGCCATGGCAAGGAGCAGGCCTACCATAAAAGTGAAATGGGATGAGAGCAAATACTCATGCCAGCATCTTCTTCCCAACCAGAAAATACTGTTCTTTCTGTATATTCTGAAAGATATCATCAGGTTAAGATATTGCAGCAAGGGTCATCCTAGCTATCTCTTGAATTACTGTGTAAATAATATATAGATAGAGGTAATCATTGCACCATGTTATACGTTGCCAGCCTGTGTTTGTAAGTTTAAAAAGTTGTAGCACTATTGTTGGCTCTATTTGAAATCGAGCTTGAATTGAACCATGTGTGGAGTTGGACTGCCCAAAGCCCTCAATGATAATCAAAGTATACTGGCCACGCAAATCACGAAAAATATATGATCTAGCTGCTTGCTCCCCTGGGATGATTGTAGATGGTCATTCAAGATGACTCATTCAAATAAATATTCAGCTTCCTGGCCAAAACAAGTGTAGCACATTTTGAAATACATGTTTTTATCCATATATATATATATATATATTATATATATAATATATATAAATATATAATATAATATATATATAATATGTGCGTGTAAAACCGTTTGCTCTTCATCTTGTTTTCTTATTGTGCCAGGCTTAAATTCTCACACACCGGCCCTTGTAGTGGCACAGCATGGCCCTAAGACACAGCGTTTTTCTTTTTAAACTTAGTATGTGCTTGCCATGCAGTGAAGAACATCCAAAGCTTTAAAAAGATAGATGGGATAATGAGTGCAAAATGGTGAAGTAAGTTTACATTTTGCCGCCGATGACGTTCTTTTTAGAAACAAACTGAGTGGTATTTACATGTATTTGCTCATACTACGCAATGTAAAGACCGTTGGGATAAGTCCGGCCAAACGGCCCGACTAGATGGCCCGGCAAGACGAAGACGGCCAGACAATGAACTAAATCAATGAATGCTAGTGGAATCAATTCTTGGTGAGTATGCCGGAGCTGGGTCTATGGAGCTATGGGTGAAGGGGGGTCTGGGTTTAGGTAAGGTTCGGGGAGGTCCAAAAAAAGAAATGTATATATATATATATATACATACTGTTTTGGACCTCCCTGGGATCAAGCTCTATACAATTAATCACATGTTTTTGCAAAAAAAAAGATACTTTTTTTCGGGTGCTCAATGTACCCCATTTTCAGACAAACCCATTTCTAGTAGTTTCAGATTTATTGATCTCCGAATTCTTGTGGGGGACTGAAGATCTTTGCGGGGGGGGGGTTGCTGCAAAACCAGCGGTTCGCTAGGAGAGTGGGCGTTTGCTGGCAAAACTGGGGTGGAACGAGAAATCTTCAGTTGGATTGTAAGGATGTTCCGTTCAACTACAGTGAAAGTAGCAGTAGTTTGGATGTTCAGGTCATGTTCACATCCCAAGGTTTGTTTGCTACTTAGGAAACATGATGATAAAACCTCAAATTTTCTGGGTTTTCTTCTAAAAAATCAGACAACCCCCAAAAATGTTTAGACTTTTATATAGATCAATGATCTCACCATACTCATGAATACTCATGAATTCTTGTGAATTAATATGTAAATCCGTGTGATCCATACGGTTTCCGAAGATCCCATGCCGCCCAGGATTCGCCTGCTGAGTTACAGTAGTAGCCCTAGATCCGCAACCACCTCGAGCCAGGTGCCAACGGGGGCGGCTAACTGCAGCTGGGAAGAATGTGGGATTGAAACAGGAAGTCATGTATATATATATATATACAATAGTTATATAATATTATAATGTTATATATATAATTATATCTATCTTATCTTGTATTATCTTATCTTATCTTATCGTATCTTATCTTATCTTATCTTATTTTGTCTGTTTGTCTGTGTATATATATATATATATATCGATCTATCGATCTATCGATCGATTTATCTATCTATCTAATCTATCTAATCTAATCTAATCTAATCTAATCTAATCTATCTAATCTATCTATCTATCTATCTATCTATCTATCTATCTATCTATCTATCTATCTATCTATCTAATCAATCAATCAATCAATCTATCTATCTATCTACCTATCTATCTATCTATCTACCTATCTATCTATCTATCTATCTATGTGTCCTGTCCTGTCCTGTCCTGTCTTGTCTTGTCTTGTCTTGTCTTGTCTTATCTTGTCTCACCTATCTTATCTTATCTATCTTATCCATCTATTTATCGATCGATCGATCTATCTATTTATCGATCTATCTATCCTTTTATTTATCTAATCTATCTATCTATCTAAACTCTCTAATCTATCTAATCTATCAAATCTACTTATACAATCTATCTAATCTATCTCATCCATCTTTCTATCTATCTATCTATTTATCCATCCATCTATCTATGTATCCATCCATCCATCCATCCATCTATCTAGCTATCTATCTACCTGTCATAGTTTCTGACACATTATCTGGAAATATATATGGTATATTCTTCTGACATTCTATTCTGGCATTCTATCTGACATTTTTATTTGGCATTTTTTTCAGACATCCTATTTGGCATCCTTTGTGGCATCTATACTAACATTTTCTCTGGCATTCCATCTGGCATTTTTTCTGCCATATGTTCTGGCATACGTTCTGGCAGAAGAAAAAAACAGAGCAAAATACGTTGCGTTGAAGAAGGATGTGTTCCTTGAAATGAGAATGATATAAATATGTTCTCTGGTGATTTGACGGGTCTGGCTTGATTTCTCCAGAGAAATCAAACGGAGGAGAGGACAGGTGAATTTCTCTTATTAGGGGTCTGGCCCGATGGTAGGCGGATTTTATTTTGCATGGTGCTTTCCCGTTACCTTTTTTCAAACAACCTTGCTGCGGAGTGGAACATAAAAGTGTGCGGTCTTATTTTCTATGTACTATGTATACATAGTACTTGACTTATTTTCCCTGTATCTGGAGTGTTGGGAGCAACCGTGATGAAGGGGATAGTACAACCAACAATTCCGGCGAAACGCTGTGAGTATGAACCAACAGAAGGGCATTAATCATCAGAATCAACAATCATCAATCAACACACGCAGGGATATTACCAGAACAATAGTGGGATATTTGGGGAAGCCGATTGGTGATGGATAGTCTAGTACCAGTAAATCCTCTGCTATCAACCTTTTCTTGCAGGGTACATAAGATTGGCCGTGATATTGCGGGGATATTGGATATAAGGGACCCAGCAAGTCAGTTGCCCATGGGATATACCCTAGCAATAGAAACGGGTTTTGAACTAGAAAACCAAAGTGGGATCCTTGGTTTGGTTGATTAGTGCACTGTTTGTTTCGCATAAATGGAGGAACATGTTGTACTGTGTTTTTTTAGGAGTGTCCAAGATCATGCAACAAAATCACAAAACCGGATTCGAGAGATTCAACGAATTGAAGATGGGTCTAGTCATGGGCCCATCTCCGAACGTATTTGGAACCAAACAGAAAACCTAAAGATACTACAACTGTATACATGTATACATGTAATGGATAATAAAGAAGACAAGCTAAATCATGCCACACTATTTTGATCGTTTTGACTTGGCAGTCCATCCCCACAAGGGTTTGGGATAACAATCCCTGAAGTTGAGCTGGGTTTGATCGGCTGCAGCCAGATCAAATGAGGAGATTTCTCTACAGCTCCAGTTCCCATCTATACATATCATTACACATCATTGACTCATTCATCTATTCCATCATTTACCCTCTGGTAAACTAACATAGCTATGGAAAATCACCATATTTCGTAGGTAAATTAACGAACAAAATGTCCATTTTCAGTAGCAAGTTGTTAGTTTACCAGAGGGTATGCACTTTCCATGGTGTCAAATTTCCAGTTGTCTCAATGACTTCCCGCAAAGCAAGGACCGCATCCAGAGTAATGGAAGGATCGTCACCCTCGCTCACTTACCGGATATATGATATGTGTAATATGTAAATATATGTAATACATATTTTACACACACATATATATATATATACATATATATATATATATACATACGTATGTGTATATATTTATATATTAGATGTATATGATATTGTTTACCTAGAACTTCCATTTCTGCGAAATGATCACCGTTTTCTGAAACTACGTGATGTTTTTTGTGCCGTTTCCAGAACAGACACGCCATTTCTTGAAGTTATTGCTGTTTCACAAACTTCAGGTGTATCAACATTGCGTGAACCAGTTAATATATTGCAGTCCACCTTGTCAGCAACTTCAATCACAGGTCCAAAAACCGGTATGGTTTGCATATGTTTGCATATATCAATAATTAACTGGACCAGTGCATCATTTCCAACTGCCACCAGTTGCCTTCCAGCAAACTACTTTAACATAGCTATGAAAATCCATGGCTTTCCCATTCCGACATGATCTAAACGTGGTGGATGTTCCACAGTTGTGTAAGCGTTTACATATACTCAGATATGTGTATATATATATATGTATATATATAGATATAGATTTATCTGTTTATTTATTTATTATTTTATTTTATTTTATTTATTTATTCACACATACACACATCATACATTTCATGATGTACCCATGGATCAATATCCGCGTGTATAATTACTACAGCAATTACAAGGTGGCACTCCATAGTTAGCTAAATTGGTGAACTATGCTAAGTATAGTTATAGATAAAAGCCTACTATGGTTTATGTATGTTTATGATTGTTTATGTAAATCTCTATACATTTATTTTCCAACTTAGCCAACATTTTTTGGGGGCAAGCACCTGCCCCTTGGAAGTGCCCAGGTGCTGCACTACTGGTCCTATGCGCAGTTCCAAGCCCGCCTGGAGTTGATGAGAGACGCCCACCGCGCCGCCACAAGGTCCTCGTGGTCGTCGTGGTCGTCCGTGGCGGCGAAGGAGGAGCTGATGGATCCGTGGAGAGAGTCACTTGCCCTGGGAGGTAGGATGAAAATATATGAAAAACCGAAATCATGGCAATTTCACTAGGGAAACTATGGAAACTGCGAGAAAAGATGAGAATTTCAAGAGGGAAAATTGTGATCAACCAATCGATTTATTGGTATAGAGAATACAGACCTTTAAATGAACATGATGGTTGGAATGGATCATGAGGTCATACGGGGTCAGTTGCTCGGGGGTAAAGCATGTGATTGTGCTTCATTGTCCTTGGTTTTATGGCTAATGTGTTTATGTTCCAGTCAGACATGCACTACTTTGGCATCTTTAAAGGAGTGGAGATTGGGAGCTGCAAAATCAGCTTCTAGGTCGTTTGTGCCTTTAAAAGTGGGATGACGTGTGAATTCAATTAGCTGATGAGTATTTGGGTTTGGTCATTTGTAATCAACTAACACACCGGCATCAAGGGATATAAAATCACCACCCTTTTCGTGGGATGCAAGCGTGGGGAGGTTCAAAAAATGTAAGCAAAAAAAATGACCCCCTTCGTATTTGTTCCCGATGGGGAAGGCTACATGTATGTTAGACCCCTCCTACGTCAAAAACCGTGCCCCGGAAGATTTACATTTAGGGGGGTTGAAAGTCCGTAAGAGATACGTCACCCCGTACCCCCTCCGAACCCCCCCCCGTACTCTATGGATAGGGGGGGAGGTAAAAATTGTTAAATGTCCGCAAGCAGTTTGTAAACTGTTTGTGAGGTGTCTTTGTGGGGATGTAATCAACCTATGTCTGAGGTCCATAGTTCCTTCCAGAAAGCGTTCGAAAAGAAGGTAAAACCAAGATAGAAAAAATGTAACCATCCTGGATGCCTACACCTGAGGCCTACTATTCCTGGCAGAAAGTGCTTAAAAAAGAAGGTAGAGATGAGATAAAAGATGATAAAAGAATGTAAGCATCCTACACTTGAGGTCCTTAATTCCTTGCAGAAAGTGCTCAAGAAAGAAGGTGGAGATAAGATAGAATCATGTAACCATCCTACACCTGAGGTCCTTAATTCCTTGCAGAAATTGCTTAAAAAGAAGGCAAACATGAGATAGACACATGCAACCATATTACACCTGAGTCCTATAATTCCTTGCAGAAAGTGCTTAAAAAAGAAGGTAAATATAAGATTTAAAAAACACAATCCTATACATAAGGTCCATAGTTCCTTGCAGAAAGTGCTCGAACAAGAAGGTAAAGCTAAGATAGAAAAATGTAACCATCCTACACCTCAGGTTCCACAGTTCCTTTCAGAATCAACATGACACGTGTAGATTGTTATTATATTATGGTTGGAGGGTCATAAGGGGGGCTAGATAGGAACCGTGGCAGAAGGGTGTTTAAGTTCGATCATGTAGGTACATAAAGGGGGTTTATTATGAGGACCCCATAAAAGTTCTTTTGAGGTCCATTTGAGGTCCATTTGAGATCTTTATTTGTATTCTATTGTTTTTTTTCCATAGGTAGGAGGTAAGTTTGAAAACCTTCAACATTGAATTTTACATTTATTTGAAGTTCAAGGATTTTCCAGTAGTTTGCAAGGAATAATATACCTTCTATACCTCCATGTTACATGTGGAAATGATAAAAAAGGTGCAGAAAAAGTGTAGAATGTATTGGAAATACTAAGCAACTGGGGTCCTACAAACGTTCAGTTTGCATTTTGATGTTCTGCAATTCTGCAGCTATGTGCAGACCTTCACACTACAATTTTACATGTGTTTTTCATTTTCTCGTTTTTGTTTAAATCAATCAATCGGACATTTTGAACGCCCCCCTGCGTTTGTTTTTTCAAAAATTACTTTACTTCGTGTGATCCCCACCATGACATTTATACATTTTCTTACTGGCAAATCTTCTGGCATTCTATCTGACATATCTTCTGACATTCTATTTGACATTCTATTTGACATTCTATCTGGCATATCTTCTGGCATATGATCTGGCATATCTTCTGGCATATCTTCTGGCATTCTATCTGGCAAATCTTCTGGCATTCTATCTGGCATATCTTCTGGCATTCTATCTGACATATCTTATGGCATTCTATCTGGCATTCTATCTGGCATATCTTCTGGCATATATTCTGACATATCTTCTGGCATTCTATCTGACATATCTTCTGGCATTCTATCTGGCATATCTTCTGGCATATCTTCTGGCATATCTTCTGACATATCTTCTGACATATCTATCTGGCATATCTTCTGGCATATTTTCTGGCATTCTATCTGGCAAATCTTCTGGCATTCTATCTGGCATTCTATCTGGCATATCTTCTGGCATATTATCTGGCTTTCTATCTGGCATATCTTCTGGCATATCTTCTGGCATATCTTCTGACATTCTTTCTGACATTCTTTCTAACTTTCTTCTGCACATTCTTTGTCCCATATCTTCCTACATGAGGTCCGGCAGGGAACACTTGGCATGGATACTCGCGGTTGAGGTCCGGCAGGGAACACTGGGCGTGGATGGTCGTGGTTGAGGTCCGGCAGGGAACACTGGGCGAGGATGGTCGTGGTTGAGGTCCGGAAGGGAACATTGGGCGTGGATGGTCGTGGTTGAGGTCCGGCAGGGAACACTGGGCGTGGATGGTAGTGGTTGAGGCCCGGCAGAGAACACTGTGGATCGCGGGTCGCAGTTGAGCAAGGACGACGAGGACGACGAGGACGACGAGGAGGACGAGGAGGAGGAGGAGGAGGAGAGGAGGAGGAGAAGGAGGAGAAGGAGGAGAAGGAGGAGGAGGAGGAGGCAACTGACATAAAATCTAACAACCCCCACCTGGCAGGTGGGGAATAAATGAAATCCCGTAAAGAGTGAGGGGACCTACTAAAATGAAATCTTGCAAATGGAACTCAGTTAGAAAAATAAATGCGTGCTGACATTTAACAGGCCCCCCTCCCTCAAAAACGTCTAAATTGTGTCTTGCAATTTGGGTACGTCCCCCCCTAAAAGGGTAGTGATGATATAAACCAATTCTGTAATACAACATTGCTGGCAGGAAAACTGCCATTCTGCAATTTTGAAAAATCAACATTCCATAGATGTGCAATTGGATGAAAGTAACATCTACATTTCGGATATTTTGTGAGAGAATAATGGTAAACATACCAAAGACTCAACATTCCGGGAGAGTGGCTTAGGGGGCTCAGCAAATCACGCACCTTGATCGGGGTGAACTCCCAAGGGTGCCTCACCCGCGACCTTTTTGTCCCCACCTTGAAAAAGAGCAAGACATGGGGCGCTGAAAACACCCGGACCGTACTGTGGACCGTACCAGGTCGAACCTTTTTCCACTGCGACATTTGTTGAGCCATGCGCTGTTCGACCGGCCAGAGCCTTGCCACTAGGGATTTGACAAGATGGGAGACGACTTTCCTACTGAAAGTTTGCAATTTCGTTCCATTTGTGCAACTTTCAGGGGTGGAGAGTTGAAATAGAGGTTTTCCTTTGCCTTAAGTCATGCCTGTCCCGAACTAGCTTCATCCTATCATAGAATGTATCTGAATAAATTGACACTTGAATATATTTGAATGGCCAGGGAAACCAAGTTCAGATTCCCGGGAATGTTGTCAATTTTTTGTGGGGTTCAACTTCCCCGTTGTGCTATTAAAATGGCTCACAATGGCCATGAGGGTCATGCCGGTGGGGATTGATTCAAGTGCAAATCCAGCAGGAGGGCCTTGTTTGTTCAACGCATTCAATAGGTTTGACACGTGTTTTTGCCATCATCAAATAGAGGGGGTTCCTGTATTTTTTCCCTTATGATGACAAGAATCTGGGACTCGGGACAAGGAAGTGGAAGATCTGAAGATGCAACTGGCAGAGATGCGACAGGCCTGCTGCGAATCCCTTGATGTTCATTTTGGACTAGAATGGGAAGTGATGATAATAGTGCTTGATCTAAGTGAAAATGAATTGGACAGTGTAGAAAATACATGTTTTAGCCTTTTTTTTGCGTTTTTTTTTTGCTGGCTTTTGGCTTGTGGCTTCTTCGGCTTCTTGTGGCTTCTGGCTGCATTTTTCTATGGAAGGTATATTTTTTAGGATTTTTTTTTGTTTAAGGATGTTTTTGTGTTTTAATCTCCCATTTGCATGCCCACTTGGCTTTTGGCCTTTGTCTTTTGATTTTGGCTTCTCTTGGCTTTTGGTTTTTGGTTTTTGTTGGCTTTTTGGCTTTGGTTTCACTTGGCTTTTGCTTTTTGGTTTTTGTTGGCTTTTTGGCATTGGTTTCACTTGGCTTTTGGCTTTCGGCTTTTGGCCGCACTTCTGTTGAATGTATGTGTAGCATTGTAGTTTGCATCTAACATGTCATAATTTCATATAATATACACTGCATATAAGTTATATATGTAAACTGCACAGAAATTACAGACGTACTATGAGCTTATATGCATGCCGTTATGAGAGGAATTGAGACCTGTTTTCAACAAGTGTCGTAAGTACTTTTTGTTCCTAAAGTTCTTAAGACCGTATTTCAAGACACTTGTTGAATTGTGTTCTCCAACTATATTTGCTTGAATTGTGTTTCACAATGGTTGAATGGCAGTCAGAAGTTTACCTTCGAGTTTATATGCATGCTTGTGTGAGAGAAATCGCGACCTTTTTTCAACATCAAGTGTCCTAACTAGCTCTTTTTTTTATGTCTGAAAAAAGTATTTCAGGACACTTGTCGAATCTGGTCTGCAACTATCTCTATGTGAGTTGATTTGTGTGCAACCCGAAAGAAACCCTAAATGAAACCCTAAAGAAACTTAAAGAAACCCTAAACGACACTAAAGAAATCCAAAGTGAAACCCTAAAGGAACCCTAAATGAAACCCTAAAGAAACCCTAAACAACACCCTAAAGAAACCCTAAATGACACGCGAAATAAACCTTAAACCAACCCTAAATAACATCCTAAAGAATCAAAAAATGTCACCCTAAAGAAACCCTAAATCAACCCCTAAAGAAACCCGAAGTGAAACCCTAAAGAAACCCAAAATGAAACCAAACCCTAAATGACATCCGAAGGAAACCCTAAATGAAACCCTTAATGAAACCCTAAATTACACCCGAAATAAACCTTAAACGAAACCCTAACCGAAAGAAACCGTAAACGCACCCTAAAGAATCTTAAAGAAACCCTACAGAAACCCTAAATGAAACCTTAAATGAAACCCTAAATAAACCCTAAATGAAACCTTAAATGACATCCTAAGGAAACCCTAAATGAAACCTTAAATGACACGGGAAATAAACCCTAAATGAAACCTTAGATGACATCCTGAAAAAGCCGAAAACGACACCCTAAAGAAAACCTAAATGAAACCTTAAATTAAAGAAACCACAAATGAAACCCTAAGATACATCCTCAATGAAACCCTAAATGAAATCCTAAATGACACCCGAAATAAACTATGAAACTCTAAATAAACGCTACATTAAACGCTAAAGAAACCGTAAAGAAACCCTAAATGAAACCCTAAAGACACCCTAAATGAAACCGTAAAAAAGCCCTAAATAAACCCACGTGAACGTTTGAAGCACCAACATGTAGCAAATACCATTCAAATGAGAGTTTGAAGTGCCAAAATGCGGCAAACACATGAACTGAAGACCATCAAGAAATCCATGAAAACCATCCAGACATCGTTGAAAACCAGTGGAAAATTGGTAAAAACCACATGTTGCAAATACTGTCTTTTTTTTGTGCTCCGAAATGAAGCAAAAAGCCTGCAAATGAGATATTTTAGCTCCAAAATGCAGCAAATGCCCCAGACTGAAACAAATGCCACATGAATTTCGCGCCTTCAGACAAATGATAGCCTAATGACTGGCCTAATGTCACATGAACATCAGTTCAATGTTCGGAGATTTGTAAGATCGGCTACGGCCATGATGCCATGATGGGAGGGACATCATCGATCCAAGGGAGAAATGACCGGCCCCAAGAAGGCCATCCGTGCTCGACAGGAGCTTCAAGAGAAGACGGGAAGCCTGGAGAAGAAAGCGGAGATCATCAGCCAGTTGAACGAACAGCTACTGAGCTCATATTAATATCATATAATATCATATTTATATATAATATTATATAATTATATAATTATATATATATTATATCTATAATCTATTAGGATCTATTAAGCATGACCAGGTGAATAGTGACTTGGTTTGTTCCCTGTACATCGCAGTCAAACCGGGGTGCCATTGTTCCAGAGATCACTGGGGCTTCAACCTGCCTGGTTTACTCAAAAATCCACCGTTCACATCGGGGCGCCGTTGGTTTCCCCATTTACCATGACAAACAACTGAGATGATTTGGGGCGTATGAATTTCGGCAAGGCACCAGAGTTGAAATTGTTGTTTCCCAATAGATATGTTATAGATATAAATAGATAGATGGATAGATAGATATATATTATATACCCGAGGACCCGTACTTAGAATATTAAGTCAATCAACTTCCAGCCAAAAAAATTACCTGCGGGCTCCCCGGGGGGAATATTCTAAGTGCAAGCCTGGATTTCGCAGATAGAATATTAAAAAATATATGATATTAAATGGATGATGACTTGAGAATATTCTAAGTGCATCAAATTTGTGAAACACCTCCGATTTTTCGCAAAACAACCACCGGCTTGAGGTTGTACCACACTTAAACCTTCCAAGTGATTGACACAAAATGCTGTGTTGCCGAATGATGCACAAACATGTGCATCTATGATGGATCATTTGTTCATATGTTTTTCAAAACACTGGGACTCCAGAATATTCTAAGTGCATCAAATTTGTGAAGCACCTCCGTTTTTTTCGCAAAACAACCACTGTACCGGAATGCATGCTCTATCGGCAAGTGAACACAGACACCAACATGTATGTACATGTACGCATGTATATATATATATATATATATATATATTCATTTTCTTTCATATGCATGCATGTACGTGATGCACATGATATATTCATATATATATATATATCATTCCTATATGCAAACACTGTGCTATTCTTTAGGTAGGTATTTAGAGCACATATACACATACAACTATACTACATGCAGGAATATTCTAAGTGCAAGGATTTTGTGAAACATTTGTGATTTGTTGCAATTGGGCTGGTTGGGTTCATATTCTATCACCAGCAAGGTATCCAATTGGAATCGAGAATGGTTTATATATATATAAGTATACATACATATACATATGTACATGCATGTTTATCATGTTTACATGTACAAAGCATCCCCATTGCACATAGGAACACATGCAGTTATTATTCTATGTGCATGGATTTTGTGAAACAGTCCTAAATTTCTATTAAAATCATGCTCTATTTATCAAAGGAAGTTTAGGGGGAGAAACTTCCGTGTTACGGACTTTTAGAATGTCAGGGAAAGAGTTAGTCAAAGAAAGAGTTAGTCAAAGAAAGAGTTAGTTAGGGAAAGAGTTCATCAGGGAAAGAGTTAGTCAAAGAAAGAGTTAGTCAGGGAAAGGTTAAGAGTTCATCAGGGAAAGAGTTAGTCAAAGAAAGAGTTAGTGAGGGAAAGAGTTAGTTAGGGAAAGAGTTCATCAGGGAAAGAGTTAGTCAAAGAAAGAGTTAGTGAGGGAAAGAGTTAGTTAGGGAAAGAGTTCAGACTGTCAGGGAAAGATTAGTCAAAGGAAGAGTTAGTGAGGGAAAGAGTTAGTTAGGGACAGAGTTAATTGTAACTTTTAGAATGTCAGGGAAAGAGTTAGTCAAAGAAAGAGTTAGAATGGCATTGCAAGTGGTGCTGGTGGAGGAGTTGCCGATGGAGTTTTGAAGGAAGTCTGGCACGAAATGCGTTTTTGAGAGATAGCAGATGCACGAAACCCTATGTTTTTTCCATACAAAGTCCGTCCCCGAACCTCGATGATCTACCTCTGCGGTGCGACGGTGCGAGACGGTCTCGTGTGTGGTCGGATCATGTCGGATCATGCTCGGATCGGTTCCGCATTGTAAATGGGGTTTCACCTGTTTTTCGTGCATGTGCGGTCGACAGAATTCCATTGTGATTTGCAACTGTAGGATCGTTCCCGCAATGTAAATGGGATTGCAAGTGGTGCTGGTGGATGAGTTGCCGATGGAATTCCATTGTGATTTGCAACTGTAGGATCGTTCCCGCAATGTAAATGGGATTGCAAGTGTTGCTGGTGGATGAGTTGCCGATGGAATTCCATTCTGCTTTGCAACTGTAGGATCGTTCCCGCATGGAGTTTTGAAAGAAGTCTCGCACGAAATGCGTTTTTGAGAGATAGCAGATGCACGAAACCCTATGTTTTTCCATACAAAGTCCGTCCCCGAACCTCGATGATCTACCTCCGCGGTGCGACGGTTGCGAGACGGTCTCGTGTGTGGTCGGATCATGTTCGGATCATGCTCGGATCGGTTCCGCATTGTAAATGGGGTTTCAACTGTTTTTCGTGCATGTGCGGTCGACAGAATTTCATTGTGATTTGCAACTGTAGGATCGTTCCCGCATCGTAAATGGGGTTGCAAGTGGTGCTGGTGGATGAGTTGCCGATGGAATTCCATTGTGATCGATGATCTAACGGTTGCGAGACGGTCTCGTGTGTGGTCGGATCATGGATCGTTCCCGCATTGTAAATGTTTCAACTGTTTTTCGTGCATGTGCGGTCGACAGAATTGCAAGTGTTGCTGGTGCAAGATGAGTTGCCGATGGAATTCCATTCTGCGTTTGCAACTGTATGGTTGCCGATCGTTTGCCTGTAGGATCGTTCCCGCAATGTAAATGGGATTGCGGTTTGCAACTCAGTCTCTGCAGATCGCATTGTAATGGCTGCGTCAAGGTTGCTTCGTGCTGTGGCTGCATTCGTAGTACTATTGTCTTTTGCAGCTGGATCTCGGAAATCGTCTTGGAGTGGCTGCATGAAGGCTGCGACAGTGATTTGTCAGCAGATTTTCTCCATTTTGGCGCTAGTGATTTTCCTTCTAAAAATACTTTTAAAAAGTGCTTCAAAATCGTCTTTTTTTCGCTCTGGCGTCGAGGACGCCGTTGCGCGTAGTTCTATTCTATTGCGTTTTGCAACTCAGTCTCTGCAGATCGCATTGTAGTGGCTGCGTCAAGGTTGCTTCGTGCTGTGGCTGCATTCGTAATACTATTGTCTTTTGCAGCTGGATCTCGTAAATCGTATTGGAGTGGCTGCATGAAGGCTGCGACAGTGATTTGTCAGCAGATTTTCTCCATTTTGGCACTAGTGATTTTCCTTCTAAAAATCCTTTTAAAAAGTGCTTCAAAATCGTTTTTTTTTCGCTCTGGCGTCGAGATCCGGTTTTGGAGCTACAATTTCCGACGCCGTTGCGCGTAGTTCTATTGTGCTTTGCAACTCAGTCTCTGCAGATCGCATTGTAATGGCTGCGTCAAGGTTGCTTCGTGCTGTGGCTGCATTCGTACTATACTATTTTCTTTTGCAGCTGGATCTCGGAAATCGTCTTGGAGTGGCTGCATGAAAGCTGCGACCTGGATTTGTTAGCAGATTTTCTCCATTTTGTCGCATTAGTATTTTTTTTGTTCCACGTAGGTTTAGAGCAGTGTGAAGTGTGGGGCGTAAAGAGTGCAGTGTGAAGTGTGAAGTGTGAAGGAAGCAGTGGGAAGTGAGAAGTGTGAAGTGTGGAGTGTGAAGTGTGCAGTGTGGAGTGTGAAGTTTAAGTTTGGAGTGCGAAGAGCGCAGTGTGAAGTGTGAAGTGTGAAGTGTGAGGTTTGGAGTGTGAAGGAAGCAGTGAGAAGTGTGGAGTGTGAAGTGTGGAGTGTGAAGTTTGAGGTTTGGAGTGCGAAGAGTGCAGTGTGCTGTGTGAGGTGTGGAGTGTCGAGGGAAGGACACGGTCGGGACAGGTTGTCTTTGAACTATAGGTCATTTATGTTTGGAAACTTCCGCCGCCGGCTTGCCCGGGTCTATGTTAATTATTATATATATGTGCAAAAATGGAATATTCTAAGTGCACTGGTTTTTGCCCCCGGGACGTATGGTTTTAAGGACATTCTAACTGCATAGTCAATAAAATTGAATATTCTAAGTGCAAGTCCGCACGTATACATATGTATATAATTGTATATATATATATATATATTTAGATAGATATAGATTTACATACAATGCACATGTCAGGATGTTTTTCCCCATCAACGGCTGGAGACATCGCCGAAATGTGGCGCCCCTAGGCTGATGGGAGTGGTTTCCTTGACCCAGGAGATCCAGGAGGAGGCGGCTTCCGTGGAAAAGATATGGAGAAAAACGGACGAAAATGTGACGAAAGATGACTATATATATATATATTGCATATATATATATATTGCATATATATATATATATTGCATATATATATATATTGCATATATATATATATATATATATTGCATATATATATATATATATTTATTGCATATATATATATATATATTGCATATATATATACCTGGTATATATATATATTCTAACATTCTAAAGTTTAGTTGTTGTTTTTTGTATTTCAATATTTTTGTTGGGGCATGGCCGTACTTGAACTACAAAATAAAAATGTAGTTCTGTCAACATTACATCATGCTACCATACTTCCTATGAGGAAAACCTGCTCGCCATTTGAAGCAGCCTGCGACTGAGCGGGTTTATCCAACGGGAGCATCATCAGCACGTGATTTTACGTGGCTGGGGTGTCATGTGGTACTTTGTGAACAAAGTACCGGACCTAACGCGATTTTAAGATGCGAAACATAACAGCACCTTAAATGGAAAACATCAGGCATGAACCTTTTTGATGGTAACATGGCATTGCATATCATATTTTTCATTGCTATCCACTTCTAATTCTGGTGTAATTTTGCAATATTAGATATTTGAACCATTGTTATTATTGTGTTTGATGTATGTTGATTTTGATATATTTTGATGATGATTTGTATATCTATATCATACTATGATGATGATTATATAGTACTTTTTAGATCTCATTGGTCTCATGTTTGAGAATATCAACTATCTTTAATTCAAATTGGAATATGCCCTTACCATTTGATAATCTTGTGTGTGTTAGCCATTGCCACATGATCCCCAGGTGGGTCTCCAAAGTCCTCATGGTGCCTCACCCATCACGGTGGTCTCCATGCATGACCTCGCGCCGCACAACGATGGCAGCGAAGAGAACTTCACCATGAGCGCAGCTGGGAGACGATGACAGGTATGATCTTTGGAAGATTAAAACGCTAGATTGTGTCTACAAACTATTTCAAACTGATAGAATTCTTCCGGGGTGATACTCAATCGATCTCAATCGTAGTTTTCTCTTTGCAATGTTGCGGGAATACCGCATGTTCATCCATTTTGAGACACGTATGGCTGGGTGCAGTGGGTGGAACAGCGCTTCTTTGTGTTACCGCTGGTGAACGGCAGTATCTTCAATTCGGATTGGCATGCCTTGCCGTTTTGCCATACATGGGGGAACCTGGAAGTTGGTGCACCGCAATGTTCAACCCTATTGGGATGAATGACCCATTAGATATATGATGATATATGTGACATTGGGATATATTGGGTTGTTTCCCACACGTGATAAGTTCTGGTTTATCATCACAGAGTAAGTCACCAGGAAAAACTAATTGTTTGGCCTTTCTGCAGTGAAGCCGAGGTATCGGCATCGACAATCTCGGATGCTCTGGCTTGATGGCTTGATGCCTTTGGCAGCTCAAAATCTTGTTGCATCTAACACAAAAAACAACATACACCCCATACACATTTATACTTACATAGACTCATCACTTGCATATATCTTAAGATATTGTAAGTATGTGCCAATGATTAGCAAGCACACATATTATGTATATCTGTATATGTGTATTAAACATTACATTATATATAACTTGTGACCTTACATATACATTAACATTGTATTACATGCATGTTTTTATGGATATGATCCATGGCCATGCTGAGGACGGAGCACCCACAGCGCCAAACGATGCACGGTCTCGGGGCTTCAAAGTGGAACCTTGGCGCTGGAATTTCAAAACGACGCGGGGATGGTGAAAAAATGTGGATTTCATCAGCAATAAATGGTGAATTCATAATAGCTGGTTGGTGGTTTGGAACTTATTTTTTTATTTTTCAATATATTGGGAATAATCATCCCAACTGACTTTCATATTTTTCAGAGGGGTAGGTATACCACCAACCAGATAGTGATTCAACCAGCCAACACGTGGCTTTCACCAGCAAGAAGCATCAGTTTACAAATGAGGTGTGCTGATTTTAACACCAAATGTAGTAGCAAGGGACCCCCTAATTCAGGGGGTGAACATTCCACTAAATGTGGTCAACCCAACTGATAGCCCTTCGTAGAACTCCAAAATGTGGGATTCAATGTGTTACCAATGATGGACCACTACCTATTTTAATGGGAAATGATTGGATGGCATATTGCCTGTGAGATCAGTGTAAAAATCATCATAAATCAGATTGCCAACGGCAAAACCCATATCACACACATTCCAGAAATTAAAATCACAAACTCCAGGGATGGGATTTAATTACTGCAAAATCATATGCTAACTGTCTATTTTCATGTTGGATCCCCACCCGACATGTGATAGATATGTGGCAGGCCTGGAAACCACAGAGATGGACATGCCATGAGATGCCATTAAGTTACTATTGAATTAGCCATTGGGAAATCCCCAGTAAAAATAGGCATCAAAGGTGAAAATCGCCAAGCAATGGGGAATTGTCCATTGCCATCATTGCCATGTGTGATTTCCGCAGGGCGCATTAAAAAAAATCAGGACGTAACTATTTTGGCACCCTTCGAGGATCATCCCAAGTAGAAGCTACGGTAAAAACCCAATGAATTGATCACAAATTGGAGGGCTATTGCTGGGTTCTATATAGATGGTTGTATCAATTTATACCAGTTATAGCCCTGTTTGAGTTGCTTGGGACGATGTGAAATGACACCTTTCAGAAGTTCAAAAAACTAGGAACCCCTTTGTGAAAAATGCGGCAGCTTATCGCTTGGCCCTTGGGGCCTCGCTTGGCCCTTGGCCCTAGGATAAGCTCAGTGGTTCGATTCTCCAGACTTTGGCACCTGCCCTGTTGAGCCAAAGTAGCTTGACACCTCCCCACTGCTATCGTGATCTCCACCGTTGAGTATTGAAGATGTGAAGATCCATATAGGCCGGGGAAAAACACGAGTCGCTGTTGGGGTTTCCAGGTGGGGAAAACAACGCAATCCCCGGGGTTTACGGATGTTTAAGGTAGGTCCTAGGTATCGAACTAGTTCATGGGGATTATGACAACCAAAAAGGACGACCTTGCAGCTGACACCCTGCCTGATGCTTGCACTGCGGTTCCACCACGGTCTCCGTGGTTGACAAATGTTGACAATACTTTTGACGGGTGAACGGGGGTTTTGCTACCATGTGGCCAACCAAATTCACGTTGCACGTCACTTTCATGATTGGCAGCCTCCAAGAATACCGGAATACAACACGTTCTTGGCCATATGGAAGGACTTCCCAAAGCGGCAGTCTTTCAAAGACTTCTCTTTTTAGACGCTCGAAGCTTGAAGGTCTTGAGCTGTAGGTGCTGTAGGTGAACCGCCATGCTGGCTACAGTGGATCGTGTGATCCTGGCTACACTGGCCATGGCAGCCGTATGGAGCTATGGGTACCAAGGAGTTTCTCAGGGTTCCCAACCACCTCTATATATAATATATATATATATAATAGTCAATAAAACATGTCACCCCTGTGGTTGTCATGTTTTCGCTACATCATTGATTTTGAAAATGGTGTCCATCGGTGGCTATGGACTGTCGACACACACTGCGGGTGAGAGCCTTGTGCCACAGTGGATCTACATGCGAGACATGGGGTTTAGTTGGCCTGGGAGACAACCTCCCCTGACTAAACCCCATGAACGATGTGTAGGATTGTGGGTATCATCCCAGCAATGGTTGATACTAATTAACATTTAACTACATATATATATAATATGTATATATACTGTTCATATCCTTCCCAGGCCCTGTTCAAATTAGAGAGCAATAACGTGGCAAGTAAATGGGGGTGGTTATTGAATGAAAATCGCATCAGTTGCAGCCCTTGGCCATGTCATGAACAATGTTATTAACTGAGGAAACAGAGCCTTTGGATCTGTGAATCAACCAGAAACCATTGGAAGATGATAGACGAAGCATAGTTTCAGGGAGTCATGTTCGACCCGTTTGGTTTCAGACTGGATCTGTGAAGGCCCCTTGTGTTGGTTCCTCAACCATTCTGGCACGGGTTTGGCCTTGACGGGGGCCTTGTTTGGGACCCTGAAACCATGTGAAACCCCATCCTCTTTAATACTTTAATGGGTGTCAAATATGTGGATCCACATTTGGGGGGCCTTCCCACCAGCAGCTTGCAGAAAAAAACCGGGGTGGCGGCGCGTGGCGGCACATATTTTGCCTCCCTCAGGATGATGCGTAAGGGAATTTGTTTTAGATCAGGCTTGGGAATTACTCTGATTTGTCTTGTAGTGCACAGTCCACACTCCTTTTTTGTTGGTATCCTCTATTATATATATATATATATATATATTCACTTATTTGATTGCTTATTACAGATCCCCGCATTTGGTAGGTCCATATGCACTTATTTTGGGATCAGCAAACAGATACGTGGTCGTCAACAACAAGCCATGTATGTATAGAGTTCTTCCTGCCCAAGATTGCACTGGATATGGGAAGGGCAAAACTGCGACGCCACAACCGCCATCTGAACCGCTGTGGTTCGCGTTCGGAAAAATAGCGCGACACTCCTCAGACTTCCTGGGGAGATGCCAATAAAACGCTGGAAGATGCGTTCGATATACAGGTTGTAGTATGTTGTAGTTCTGTTCCCCAGGCTGTTGTAAATCAGTTTTCCTACTGGAAATATGCATGCTGTTTTCTTTGGATCTCAAACTTCAGGAGATGTAATAAGGATCACTGTACTGCTCAATCCCGAAATACCTGGTATATCCTGTTATGTTCAGCAAGTTTTGACCCATCCGCAAAACAAAGGACAATGTCATCCCAGTCATCCCAGTCATCCCGGGGTGGGCTTTCTGAGCGTTACAAGCCACCACCACCAATCTAAATCTTATATCATGTTATATCTATTTTGATTCAAATAGATTGAGAGAGAGAGATATATATAATATGATATAATGACATCCTATCTTGGAGAAAGAATGAGAAAGAACATGAAAGAATATGTTCTTGAAATAATCCACAGAATTAAGAGCATTGATTAGAGTATATTAGATTGACAGAATGATATACATCTTTTCTTGGATAAATGAACATGTTCTTAAAACATAAACAAAACTAACAGCACCAAGCAACCATGCATCCCAGGATCATCCGATGTCTCCCAGGTCAGAAGCATTCGAAAAACGTATTGCTGAACTCTTTGGTGGGGATCTAAGCGCTGGAACTGGGCGAAACGGGCTTTGGTGGAGATAACTATGAGATATCCACGGGGAATAATAAACATGTCAAGGATTGTTATGGGAAAATAACAAAAGATTTTTTTTTTTGGGGGGGGGTTAGATTGTTTGAATGAAACATGGTAACATGCTGAAAGGTGGCTCAAGGTGTTGCATGCTTGTGGCACTCATGGATGCATTCCAACCATCCTTTGTCCGTATTTTGCCTGATCGATCGGATGCCAATTTTATCTAATATGGGCATGGTTCACTCAATTTGTATTAACACACAGAGCCGCACATTTTGGCAATCTTGGGTATTCATACCATTTTCAGTAAACTCCAGATAGACTGGCATCCTTATTTTTGCTGGTTGAAAATGAGACTTTCCCAGACTTGGCTGAGGAAACGCAGGAAACAAAAAGACATGTTCTGTCCTAAATCAATCCATTGACCGTTGGATTTTTACTATAGTTTTATACATATTGCCCCATCAACTCCACGTTTTCCTTGAAATCCTAAGTCAAATGCACATTGCTTAGGCCCAGAAGACCCAAGGAGGAAGGCCTCTTCAGGGGTCTGGGCCCGGTGAGTCTTCCAAGACATCAATCCATTGGGCCAAACAGCAAACAGGTTGCCACATGTTGCCACCCAAGAAATGCCAGAGCCACTTGACTTGTAGAACCTTGTAGGTGTAGCCGCGTAGCCGTAAGCAGCCTGGGTTCCATCTTGAAGTGAACTTGTTGTCAACCCGACCCTTTTGAAAAGACTACCTTGTAGAAACTGGCCATGCAAGTAACATCAAGTAACTATCCGATGTCCAAAGATTTATAAAATGGCGAGCTAGTATAACCAATCATTTATAAGTAAGTAACATTAAAAAAAAAACATTTGCAACCATGGCTAGTTCATCACCATCCAGGGACTTCCGTGCTTCGGATCGGCGCAGATCCGAACCAAAGAGATTCGGCGCTCGCGAACCTTAAACCGCCAGTGCCTGACTCAGCGCCACCTGCTGACTAGAAGGCAAACTGTTGAGATCTGTTGAGTAAGGAAAAACATAAACCAACTTATATCTCAAAAAGCCGTGGATTCAAAGTCTTTTTGAGATCCAAATTGGTTCTTGAATAGCCTTTTTTTTTTAAATCAAGGAAACGGTTTATGAATCCCCCCAAAAATGTTTTGATATATGTTATATAGAAATATCTATCTATCATAAACCATACTTAAGCTTCTAAACCAACTTATAGCTACCGTTTGGGCCCGCACCCCCTGGGAGATGTTTTCGATGTTGGCAGGGGCACGCACCCTCGCAACTTGACACTTGCTAATCAACCAGTATTGATATTGGGCTCAGGGGATTCCAGGGAAATATCTTCTTGGAAACAGTATGACACTTTCAGATTTAGATGAAAGGAAGGATAGAATTGAATATGAATCAATGTTTTCCTGTATTTGTGCATTAAGTATACATATATATATATATGTATATATATATATGTGTGTGTGTGTGGAATTTCTGAACAGAAGTAAAACCTTTGCTGTTGCTTCTTTTTCAGCTTTCTGATTTCAGCAGGGGGCCCATGGGCACTTGGATGGCATGGGCCAACAAAGACCCATCCAAGGTGGTGTGCAAACGTACCTGCAATTGTTGAACCACCATGCCGTTTTTCAACGAGAATCACTTCAGAATTTGAATTAGGCACATGAACGGATGAAGGTGACTTCTGATTTATCTTTCTGCGCCGTTGGTGCAATCTGAGACTGCGGTGATCTTCTTGTCGATTCCAATCTTTTGTTTATATTGTAGGATTCTTCGTGGCTTCTTTTGATTTCATTCTTTTCTTCAAGGTGGCGACGAAGGAAAATACTCCACACCAAACCCTCCTGCCAGGTGTAACTGAAATGTTTTTGCACGACAGATGCGTTCCACATAAAATTGAGCAAGTGTGTCACCCACGTCGGTTCGACAAGATGCCGTGAGCCCCTCGGGGACTACCTGTCTAGGTAGGATGTTTGATCCTCCGACTTGATCTCTGAATTTGCACTTTTAATCTAGTAATTTGTCTAAGTAAAGTGAAACAGCCGGCCATTTTTCTCTTCTCACACTGTCGAATTCGACGTGTTGAACAACTGGCCGCGCAGTACCGGGCATCGCCTTCTTTCGCTTTTCACCCTGTCGTTTGTCGCTGGTTGAAAAACTGGCCGCAGTACCGGGCTTCATTTCCTTTTATCAGCCGTGGAAACCTCCTTTTTCAACTTTGATCGAGACTGACCAGCTTCTGGCATTGCAACATGACAAGGTTCAGGTTCCAGGACATGCCTTTCAGGTGTGGTCACTTTCTTTTGGTTGATCTGGTGAGGTCAAGTTGTGCAAGGAATTCGAGGTTCACTACTTCGGCCGTCTATGGGGTTGATCTGAATTTTCGGCCATTGAGCCTGATCAGGGGATTCTGCATTGAATTGTGGATGCATCAATTTGTTATTGATGTTATTGAAACGTGTTGGATAATTCGATACTGATTCTCCCTGCCTCCTCGCTGTGATCCTTCACCCCCATGCGTGCCGCCCATCAAATTTTCCTTTGGTCGCCATTCTCCTCCTCGCCACCGCCGTGCCACATGCATACCCCTTGCCGAGCTGCACGTTCTCAGCACGGCACCTTAGGGTGACTGTGGTTTTCGGTCGGGGGTTTCAAGTGGCTTTCCTGCAATCAACATCAGTCTTCCTTACTTGCTTATCTCCTTTCCACTTTGCAATCTCCTCATGCATGTCATTCATTTCGTCTTACTTTCTAGCCACTGCCTGCGAATCCTACTTGTCCACCCACAAAGGGCATGTACCGCCCATCATGTTCCTTGGCCGCCATTCTCCTCCTCGCCTCGGCCGGGTCACATGAATGCCCCTTGCCGAGCTGTACGTTCTCTGCACGGCACCTTCAGGTGACTGTGAATTTCGGTCGGGGGCTTCAAGTGGTGTTCCTGCACTCTGTCACGTCGCTGGTTTCAGCCCCTTCGACATCAGTCTTCCATGCTTCCTTAGCAGCTTGGCAGTTTGCCATCACCTCCATGATGATTCATATCCTCCAACTTTCCAGTCACTGCCTGCGGATCCAACCTCTCCACCCACATAGGGCATCAGGACAACCACCGCTTGTGGTCTTCCAAAAAGACCCTGCTGTGGCAGGGTGTGCATGCGTGTGTGTGGGGAACTTCTGACCAGAAGTAAACCCTCTACTGTTGCTTTTTTTTTCAGCCCTGGCATGGGCCAACGAGGACCCATCCAAGTTGCTGTGCAAACGCACCTGCAATTGTTGAATCGTGATGGGATGTGACTAACCCAAGAACCACCATGCCGTTTTTCAACGAGAATCACTTCAGAATTTGAATTAGGCACATGAACGGATGAAGGTGACTTCTGATTTATCTTTCTGCGCCGTTGGTGCAATCTGAGACTGCGGTGATCTTCTTGTCGATTCCAATCTTTTGTTTATATTGTAGGATTCTTCGTGGCTTCTTTTGATTTTATTCTTTTCTTCAAGGTGGCGACGAGGGAAAATACTCCACACCAAACCCTCCTGTCAGGTGAAACTGAAGTGTTTTTGCACGACAGATGCGTTCCACATCAAAATTTGATAAGACAAGTCTGAGCAAGTGTGTGTGTGTGTGCGTGTGCGTGTGTGTATGTATAGCAAATATAAATATAAATATAAATATATATATATATATAGGGAGCGAGAGAGAGAGAGAGAGAGAGAGAGAGAGAGAGAGGTATCTCTCACATCATCTGATTTGACCCTGCTTTCCATGACCCTGTCGTCGCGTCCAAGGCTTCGAGCCAACCTGGACAGCGTGCAAGCTGAATGACCAGCGCGGAAAATGGAAGAGTTGCTGCGTTTTGTTTGTTTTCTTTTGGGAAGTGATTTACCGGCTAACAATCTACTGTATGGTCAAAATTAAAGTACGTTAGCGGGGGATCATGAAACTTCCAGATTAGCATTTGCAAATAACCCCAAAAAAAATCAGGAAAATGTTTGGAGGTGAGACTCGGTGAGACACCCACAGGTTGCCACAAAACTGGCCGATAGGCGGATGTTTCGAACCCCTCCAACCCGGCGTTTGGACTAACGGAGGGGCCCATCAAACTGCACGTAGTTTGATTGTCAGGTCTTGAGACCCCAATATGGAACGCGCTTCATAGAAATCTCTCTGGAACTCAGCTGGCCCCTTTGGCTCAAGTCTGCACTTCGCTTTGTGGTGTCAGGAACGCTTGGAAAGGGCCAAAAGAAGTTGATTTTTTTTGAAATATGTTCTCATTTGGTGATACCGACTGGTTGTGGATTTGAATACTTTTTGACAGGTATCGGTATGTATTGGCATAGATTGGCTGTGTTCTTTCCATCCCTCCTTGGAATATTATCAACTTGCATGCTTCGCATAGCTAACGGGAATGGTTTGAGGAGCAGCAAGATAGCGACCAGTTTGGGCGGCTGAAAAACAGCATGGCCAGCACATGCCAGTACAAAGGAAGCGCTTGTGTCGGAGTGGCTGAGGGGCAACGGTGGAACTGCTGGGCACTCAGAAACACAGCACACTTGTAGCGTAGTGTTATGTATTGTAGTTGTAGCTGTAGCTGTAGTTGTAGTTAGTTGTAGTTGTAGTTAGCGTAGTGTAGTGTAGTGTAGCGTAGCGTAGTGTAGTGTAGTGTCGCATGGTGTAGTGTAGTGTAGTGTAATTGACAGTGTAGTGTACTGTAGTGTAGTGGAGTGGAGTGGGGCGTAGTGCAGTGTAGTGTAATGTAATTAGTGTAGTGTGGTGTAGTGTAGTCTTATGTAGTTGTAGTTGTAGTTAGCGTGATGTATTGTAATGTAGTGTAGTGTAGTGTAATGTCATTAGCATAGCGTAATGTAATGTAGTGTAGTTGCAGTTGCAGTTGTAGTTGTAGGTGTAGTGCAGCGTCATTCAGTGTAGTGTAGTGGAGTGTAGTGCAATTAGTGTAGTGTAGTGTAGCGTAGTGTAAATGTAGTATTGTTGTAGTTGTAGTTGTAATTGCAGTTGTAGTTGTAGTTGTAGTTGTAGTTAGTGTAGTGTCGTGTGGTGTAGTGGAATGTAATGTAGTGTAATGTAGTGCAGTGTGCTGTAGTGTAGTGTAGTGTAATTGAGTGTAGTGTAGTGGAGTGTAGTGGAGTGTAGTGGAGTGTAATGGAGTGTAGTGTAGTAGTGGAATGTAGTGTAGTGTAGTTGTAGTGAAGTGTAGTGTAGTGTAATGTAGTGTAGCGTAGTGGAATGTAGTGTAGTGCAATGTAGTGTAGTGTAGTGGACTGTAGTGTAGTGTAATGTAGTGTAGTGGAATGTAGTGTAGTGTAATGTAGTGTAGTGTAGTGGACTGTAGTGTAGTGTAGCGTAACTGAGTGGAATTGAGTGTAAGTGAGTGTAGTTTAATGTAGTGTAGTGGAATGTAGTGGGGTGTGGTGTAGTGTAGTGGAATGTAGTGAAGGTGTAGTTGTAATTGTAGTGTATTGGAGTGTAGAGTGGTGTAGTGGTGGTTGTAGTTGAAAATGCTACAAAACCCTCACGTTTTTGCTCACTTTTGACAAGGTGCACAATCCCCTGCGCCTGCCACGGGAAACGACATTTGAACCTCCAAAAGCGGTCCGAACCCCTGGTGTTTTTAACATTTTGACTTCGAAATGTGCTTCGCGCCACAACTGCGTACACTTTTTCGACATCGCAACTTCCAAAAGTGGTCCGCCGAACATGAGGTTTTTTTAGCTTTTTCACTTGCAAAGGCGCTTCACGCCACAACGGTTGTACAATTTTTCATCTCTCATCTGGCCAGATGTCTCCGCACCCGCCGCTTTAGCGAGCCTACTTTTCGACCCTCCGGAGCCACAAACCATTGGAAAAATATAGTGTTTCGCGACTTTCCTACCTTTTCGCGCACCTGCATCTTCTTTCTTCTGACTCTTTCTCTTCTCTGATCTTCTCTCTTCTGCTCTTCTCTCTTCTCTTCTCTCTGACTCTTCCCATCTCTGCTTTTCATCTGTCCATATTGTCGGAAGTTTGACGTCTAAACTTCTTTCGAATATATATATATATATTTATTTATATATATACATATATATATATATATTTTTTTTTCTTTATTTATTTATTTTACACTGTATATACGCACAGTCATTTCATATGCAATACGTGCTACTTAGATCTGTGCGAACTTTGCACGTCTTCCAAACAGAATGTCGACGCCAGGTTTTGGGCATAGGGTCGTGGGGCATCCATCTCTCCTTAGCATCATTCATAGTCCCCTGGTTTGAGGTTGGAACCATCGCAGAGTTGGTTCCAAGACAAGGAAAACAATGAAAACACACAGAAACAAACACCTGGCCTTCTCTCCATGCAGACATTATGATATCTACATATATATATATATATTATATCAGCATTAGATATTCAGATAGATATATATATAATATAATATAATTTAATACAATATAATATAATATAATATAATATTCTATAATATAATATATATATACCTATTTCTTTGCAACCAATTTTCTTCAGGATGACTGCGCCGATGGAACCCCAATGGCCAAGGGCTATCGACTGCTTCCTCAAGAGGCCTCAGACAAGCCAGTGACCACCAGGCTGAGGGCAGATGTGAAGTGGCTAGGTCAACAAAGCTGGTTTTAAAGGGTCATTCGGCTGGACATAGTTTATAGCATCGGCAAATTCAAGAAAGTTGAAACTGTTTGAGGTAGTTTTGGTGCAGGGACCGGTCAACATTGATCCAAATTGTTGAAAAACTCAGAATGTTCAGGCAGTTTTTGCAGTGTTTGATTCATATCGCGTGATTCGGACATGATCCCGTCATGTAACAATGTGCACCGGGGTGCTTGATTTCAGCCTGACGAAGACAGTCCTTGTTGACGGCTGAAAAACGCAAAGATATATGTTTTCTGATCTGTAAGCCCAAATGGAGGCCTCCAAGACGTTTTTTACATGTTATTATCAATTTGCATTTGCATGGTCCAATTTGCCTGGTCCCAAGGTGTCAACAATGTGTTGACTACAGATCCCAAGAACCAGCGTTCCGTGCCCAGGGTGGACAAAGTGCTACCCAGTGACGGCGTCAATGTTGGAAGGCCGGGGCATACCGCCAGAGCCTCCTGACCAGACAACACATCATTGGTCGACGTCCAATCTCCTTGTTGAATCGAAAAATTGCATTCTGGCATGGGCAAGAATAATTATACCTTAAATGTGTTTTCCCTCACATTGACTGATAAGACTGGTTGGTGCTTTAAACAATGCTTTATTTTTCCGTTCGCTTCATGTTGGAAGTACATGTTAGCAATCATACCATGCTTATAGATAGGGCATACGGCATCATTGTGCACTTAGCATTTGTTTCTTACATGGTCATGTTGGATATGTTAATTAGTGGAACCCCCCGTTCAGAACGCAGGGGCAGCATCGAAGCCTCGGTGCCACCGGAGAGCGAACAAGCCGCTGGGTGAAAGCTGTAGATCTATTGCGGTGAAGGCATTTGATGGATTTTTGTGTTCAAAGGTGGCCCTTTGTTGAATATTTGATGATTTGACGATACTGATGCATCCCAAGGACATTGTGCAGTTCATGTCGGGGATCTTTTTTTCCGAGGAGGGAAGACGCTTGGATCATCTTGGATCATCTTGGGTCATCTTGGGTCATCTTGGATCATTCGTGACGTTTTTTCTGCATGTTTGACACAAGACACCCATAGTCCATAGTTGGATTCCTGGCCGCCCTAAATCAGACTTAATTTCAGGCTCTTCAGAAATATCCAGAAAGCAAGCATCCAATGTAGTTTGTCATTGAGTTATTTGGTTTCCGAATGTTGGAACAGGATGTTCCAGCAACATCCAGAAACACAATGTACACACATGCTTCCTTGCTGAGGAAATAACCGCGCGAGTGTGAAAGTCATTCGCATAGGCACGTGCCGGCATTTCTTGTATGAAGATAGGAGCCTTGCAAAATCCAGCCTTCCAGATTCCAACATCCAGCTGTGCATGTACCATACTGGCTTGGTGGTTTTGTGATCCCGTTGATCCCGTTTGAAGATGTTGCCCTTTGGGAACCAGCAATTTAACACCATGGTCCATTCATAGGTTTATGTTAATCTATAATATAGATGGATGGATGGATAGATAGATGGATGGATGGATAGATAGAGATAGATATAGAGATATAGAGATAGATAGAGACAGATAGAGATAGATAGAGATAGATAGAGAGATAGATAGAGATAGATAGAGAGATAGAGAGATAGATGGATAGATAGATAGATAGATATAGAGATAGATAGAGATAGATAGAGATAGATATAGAGATAGATAGAGATAGATAGAGATAGATAGAGATAGATAGAGATAGATAGAGATAGATAGAGATAGATAGAGATAGATAGAGATAGATAGAGATAGATAGAGATAGATAGAGAGATAGATAGAGAGATAGATAGAGATAGATAGAGATAGATAGAGAGATAGATGGATAGATAGATAGATAGATAGACAGACAGACAGATAGAGATAGATAGAGATAGATATAGAGATAGAGAGAGATAGATAGATATAGATAGAGATAGAGAGAGATAGGTAGATATAGATAGATATAGATAGATATAGATCGATAGATGGATAGATGGAAAGATAGATAGATGGATAGGATTGATGGATGGATGGATGGATGGATGGATGCATGGATGGATGGATAGATAGATAGATAGATAGATAGATGGATCCGTAGATAGATAGATAGATAGACAGACAGACAGATAGATAGATAGATAGATATAGATAGAGATAGATAGAGATAGATATAGATATAGATGGATAGATAGATAGATGGATAGATAGATAGATAGATAGATAGACAGACAGATAGATAGAGATAGATGGAGATAGATAGAGAGATAGATAGAGAGATAGATAGATAGAGAGATAGATGGATGGATGGATAGATAGATAGATAGATCGATAAATAGACAGATAGATGTTTTACCTATCAAACATGTATTGTTTCTCCAAGCTATGCTGAAGAATACCAGGGGGCAACTGAAGTTTCCAGTTGGAAATTTATCTACAGTAAATAGGGGGTTTCTCATTGCTATGTTGGAGTCCAGGCCGCCTGCAGGGCAGTTGCTCGGTGAATTGTCGAACCCAGGACCATGGGTTTCTTGGAGGTGTGGCTTTACGCGTTAACATTCGTGTTAACTTGGATCAGAACCACAATAGCGAATGTGTTTAGCCGCCAAAGAGTTGGGTGTCCAGGTATATGCTTCCCTGACTGCTGATTAATCATTGAGTCCTTTGCTATTTGGTTTGGACCGGCTTTCCTGGTATAGCATGTGCGCACATGTGTATGTATATTACTGTATATCATGGACGTCCTTCCTTTTGCAACCAAACTACATTACAAACTCCAAAGGGAAGCAGTTGTTGAGCCATGATCACATTTCAAGTTGGTTGTGTTGACCAAATTTGTTTTCCTCGAAATCCCTCCAAATGGTGGATAGCGAACCTGCGGTTTGGGAGGTGAGTTGTTGAGCCATCACCAGGCTCAATGGTGCTGCCACACTCCATTGCTATGGTATATGTACCTTCATTTTGGATCATGTTGGGGAATTGTGTTGGGTAACTGTATGATTATATTATGATTATATAAATGGTCGTTTGCAAATATAGAATAAAATGGAACTGATGAAATTGATAAAGGTACCTTCATGTACCTTCTCAAGATGTCCACTCGTCCATGAATGCCATCGCTGCAAGAAAAACCTCACAAAAAATAGACAGTTGTTTTCCCCTTTGCGGGTTGGAAACCAGGGGTTTTATACGACAATAAGCGACCAAAGTCTCAACTGACTCTTGGGCCCCATGGCACCGGCACCATGGGACGCGTCCTCGCCGAATGCCATGCTTCACGTCTTAAGCGCAGCAGAGGACCCCACTGATACAGAAAAAGGGGCGGATTGAGATGTAGAAAGTGGCCAAAACAAACAAAGCGGGATGAGATATCATATTTATAATATATATATATGTGTATTTTTGCATATACATATATATATATATATGAATGATTATCATAGGATACAACCAGATTACTCTTCACAATTTGAAACAGGATTATCTCAATTTGGAACCACCGGCCGTATTGTATATCAGCATTTCCGCAGGTCATGTTTTCATGGTGATATGGCGTGGACGTGTCGAGGGTTTGCTAAAAGCTCGGATCAACCATGATTCAATCCCCTCACCTGTGGACGAGGCAAAACTACCGGAACATCCCAGTGTAATAGTCTTGGAATAAAATTCCACAAATTGATGCATTTTCCCGTTTACAATCCCTTTTTTCTGCGTGGAAAAGTGACGTTTTTTTCCCATTGATCTAGGGAAAAACAAGATCTGGCTTCAGGCCACCAGACACCAGAACAAGGCTATTCTTCGCAACGCCTTCGATTGGAGGTGTGAGGGCTGGTTTGAGCATCAACCCCCAGTTGTTTCGGATGTGATTTGGAAAAATATGTGGATCTTTATGGTGCAAAACCACCGGAAATGTAGGGTTCAGCAACAAACAGTTGGGGATTTAACCATCAAAAGATGGCTGTGTCAATTATTTGGCGCAGTGTCACAATGTTAAATGATGGTTAGGATGAAGAGAACCATCCAAAAATATCAAAAATGGTTTTTATTTCAGGTCAGAGAGTTATACTTCAGACAGTGACACGGCGATTGTTTTCCTTGATGGTCGAATCCGAGTTGGTAAACCTCATATCTCCTCCATGTTTGATGCGAACATCCTGAAACTTTGGTGTGACACAAAACACTTCTGAAATTGTTCTCAGAGAAGGCCACTGAAAATATCTAACAGAGCTACTAGTTATGAATACTAGTTTGGGTGGGCAGTGGATGCCTCCTGCTCCCCGCCTGCATGAGGCAGTTGCTACATCTGGCGGAAGAACTGCCGGATGCAGCGCACGCGCTGAATGTGTGCACCATCCTACACCGCTTGGCCAAAGGCGGCAGTGCTGGGAGAAGCCAGGGTGGTGAGGAATGGGATTGGGAAGCGCTAGGCATTTTCGATCATTTTCGGGGTGGAAACCTAAACCCAATTATCAATCTTTTTTGGGGCGAAGTGATTCCAATTTAATCACAAGCCCGCCCAATGACAACAGGTGGTGTTGAATGATCATTAATATATACCCGATCAGTCAGACTGAGGCGGACCTAGTCTCAATGCGATCGCGAGAGAGAGAGAGAGAGAGAGATATAGATAGATAGATAAATAGATAGATAGCTATCTAGCTAGATAGATAGATAGATATTTATTGTTTATTATTTATTATGCCCGATCAGCCCAGTTGTAGGGATGTCTTAAAGTGTTTGGCTCCAGTCAGATGTACTCAGATTGAGTCAAACGTGGTCCATACCATCGTGGCGCTGATGTTTTTTCAGGTCGCACTGGCGAGATGGAAAAGGAACGCGGACAACATGTAGCAGTATCAGAAAATTATAGAAAACGCAACTTGTCAACCAAACGTAAGCCACCTTGAATTGAAGCCCGAACATACAGGCCCAAACTCTAGGCCTCTAGACCTCTAGGCCCTATAGGCATAAACAAGAACCACATCTTGAACGGTGAGCAGGCCAAACGCACGCACAAGGTCAGCACCAAGTACACAATTGAACATCTTGGCAAAGTCCAAAGAATACATGTTGCGCATTTCGTTTCATTGTGTGACAAAATCATTTAGTATATATGTTCTTATATGTTATAATAATTATTATTGTTTTTATTTTGAATATGTTGTTTTAACAAAATATTTTGATTTTGATTATTGTTTTTATTTAGTGTTGCTTTTATTCTTATTTTATTGTGTGTTTTATTATTAGTAGTAGGATTTTGTTTTTTTATTATTATTACTATTGCAATTACAATTACTATTTACATATATGTATAATAATATATATATATAGATAGATATTATGTATATTAGACTATATATATATATTTAGAATCTATATACTATATAAATCATTATAAATCATAGATCTGAGATATGCTCCTAGAACCCCACAAAAAGACCACTCTGCACTCCTGACCCTTCAACGGAGGCCTTGCTCGTGAGGGTCCGCGAGGGATGTCGGAGCGCTCCCGAATGCTTCGTGATCCGGCTGGCGGTGGCAGGTGTTGATGACGGCCCCCCTTAGACTTCTTGGATGTGCACCACCAGTTGGGTCATGTCCATGTACAAAAAGGGTTGTATAGGTTTGTCTGAACATAGGATAGCCCTAAATGAAATGGTCTAATTCACCATGTTCAAGGTAAATATGGCCAGTTCAAAGGTATACATACCCCATTTTCAGACGGCCCCATATATAATGATAGTAACATTATACAATTTTGATGCGATATTGATGTTCATATAAAAGCATCTCAGTTGGCTATGTTTATAATGATATGTGCATACCAAATATTTTTCGATGAGTAGTTTGTAACCCATCCACTATGTTTGAGTTACAATCACTTACTATTTGGAATGCAAACCCATTTAGAGGTCAATGACACGTAGAAATGATATGTTGCAATTAAATTGTTCAGCCTCAAAGTCTTGCGAGGGTGCAAGTCCAAATTTCGCTGATTCCAGGTCAAGTGTCGATTCCTTGAACATGGGTATATTTGAAGCCGAACCTGTAGATGGAAACAATATTACCCTGAAACATCAATTGGAATTCAAGGATAAACTGGAGGTACCTACCATATATAAGACCAATGTAAGGGCTATGTAAGGGAATATCCCCACAAAATATGGCCTTATAATATGGTACAGCACCTCCATTTTAGGATCCTGAAATTCCCATTGAGAACACATTTTTTTTTTTACGGGGCCTGTTGCTTATTCTGTTAAGATTTGTTTGGTCATCAGTTTCCACCATGAAAGGTCTTTGATTTTTCAATCTGGCTGGATGAGGGAAGACAACTTCACACACCCTGACTTTTGAGAAATCAAATGCTCAAGTATATACTCTACATATTATACCAACAATTTCCTGTTATTGATGAAGGCGCATTCTTTGCGTTAGGTGGAACAGCGGCCTGGAAGAGGCTGCTCTTCTTGGTGCAAAAGTTGGTGCCTGATTTGAGCTTCGCCAAGAGTTTGTTTCAGACTGGACATGTTCTGGACATGAATTTCACTTTGGGTTTCAAAAGGTTTCAAGTTCTGCCCAGGATGCCAGTCAGGAACATATACACAATACCTATAACTAATATTAAATGCGTTTTTCTTCTTGCATTCTAATTCGTGGAGGATTATATAAATAGTTATTCTCTCAATGACGTAATGAAGACCTGAAGCTCAGCGAACCTCCCCAGGAACAACATGGAATTGACGAACTGTTTGTGGGCCATGGCGGTGCTTGAAGCTACAGGTCCTGGGGAAGAGATTCTGTTGACCAGTTTGATTGTGCCTCGGTCTGTGCTGCGACTGCCTCAGTTCCAGAGATAAAATGCCACCAATTTAGCACCCCATGTCCCGACATGTCCCAACTCAATGGTTGGCAGATAGGCGAAGTTCTGGTTTCTTTTTGTTTCTCCTTCATGGATGAACAACATACCGCAATCAAAGTCAGTTCTAGTTCTTTTTCAACGTCCGAGAATTGGATGAGAAGCTCTGCAGGAAACTCCATACTTGATGGTTTACATGGTTAACTAACTCCACATTTGATGCTAACAAACCATGGTCAGCTCCATATTTGATGGTAAAAAAACATGGTTAACTCCATAGAGGTTTTAAACAAACATGGTTAACTCCATATTTTAGGGTAAAAAAACATGGCGAACTCCATACTTGAGGTAAAAAACAATAGTTAACTCCATATATGATGCTAGGAAACCATGGTGAACTCCATATTTGAGGTAAAAAAAACTGGTTTTGTTTTACCTCAGATATGGAGTTAACCATGGTTTTGTTTTACCTCAAATATGGAGTTAACCATGTTTTCTTTTACCTCAAATATGGAGTGAACCATGTTTTTTTACCTCAAATATGGAGTTAACAGTTGTTGTTTTTTGTTTGCCTCAAATATGGAGTTGACAATGGTTTCTTAGCATCATGTATGGAATTAACTATTGTTTTTTACCTCAAATATGGAGTTAACCATGGTTAACTCCATATTTGATGGTAAGAAACCATGGTCAACTTCATACTTGAGGTTAAAAACATGGTTAACTCCATATTTGTGGTAGAAAAACATGGTTCACTCCATATTTGAGGTAAAAGAAAACATGGTCAATTCCATATTTGAGGTAAAACAAAACCATGGTTAACTCCATATTTGAGGTAAAAAGACATGGTTAATTCCATATTTGAAGTTAAAAATACATTTTAATATTTGATGGTAAGAAACCATTGTTAACTTCATATTTGAGGTTTTAAAAATCATGGTTAACTCAATATTTGATGGCAAGAAACCATGGTTAACTCCATATTTGATGGTAAGAAACCATTTTTAACTCCATGCCATATTTGAGGTTAAGAGTCCATGGTTAACTCCATATTTGATGAACAAAAACATTGGTTTCATGCTTTTCCGTTTGGCAGATTCTCCCATTACGACGTTGCCTTCTTCCACGATCTGCCCAGCCGAGGCGCAATGCTCGCAGCATTTGTCCAGCTTCGAAGCTCGAAACTTGGCGCTCTCGGCGTGGGCCTTGGCCAAGATGGGTCTTTCCACTGCTCCTTGGCCGATGGCTTTGGATCCACGTAGAACTGGGATAGCGGGGATATGTTTTGGGATGACGATTCATGGTTGATAGTTACCAAATGCTTTCATATGTTTTCTAGTCGTTGGTTTTTAGGACACTTCAGGGGTCGAGATTCCATCGTGATGGTTTTATTTTATCCGCCGATACCAAAATGTGTGGCACCGGGGTTCCAGGACAAGATTGGTGCAAAAGTTGGAACGGACCCACATGCCACATGACCCTACAAGCAGGACTGTGCCCTTTTTATATTCTATGGAAGTGCTACTTCGTCTTAGTAGCAACGTTTTTCAGTATGTCATGTGCTATCTACGGGTATCTATGATGTGAGCGATAATTATATATTTATTATCAACATACTAGTTGCCCATACATGATCCAATTCCCTTGGCTTCGGACCACCACGCCATCTACAATCTCACTTTCTGACGAAAAAGACATGTTGCATCATATTATACATGTTTGTATATCACATTTCTCATCAGGATAAGTAAGGGCCCTTGGCAGACTTATTTGACGTATTGACACTTGCTACTAAGCAATAAATAGATACAGCTCACACAATGTGGTGACGACCAGCAATGGAAAAACTATAATGGTAAGTCTTGTAAGTGTGCGTTTTATCCATGAGGATACTCCAGATTACGACCCATTTGCCAGGCATTGTAGTCCCAAAAATCATCCCACATGAGGCCTAAAAACATCTCACCGTGTTGCTGCATAGTTTGTTTTTTAGTTTTGCACATTCTCAATGCCAACATTTAGTGTTTGCGGTTTTTTCCTGGATGCAGAAAAGTAAGTTGAGTGGGAACTCCACAAGACATGTTATGCCCCGGGCGTAGGCTTCCATGCAGATAGTGTAGGTTGCGTAGGTAGTCGCATGTAGTCGCGTAGGCTTGATTTAGCCTACACTGCGAGGCTTTGCATAGACACTCGTTGACAACAGTTAGAACCCATTCATTTTTGCATTGGTTAGTTGTGATATGCTTGCTTTGTTCCAATGATGGGTGTGTTAAGGAAGACTTCTAAACATTTTGGGGCATAGCTGTGGTAGGTTTTCTGAAGGTGTGGGATCGACCTCCTGAATTTCCCCCAAAAGTACGATGCATAGACAGATGCGTAGGTTATATGCTACTGGTCACCGAAAGACAACGATAAAAAACACTGTTCATTTGATTATATGAGTTGATGATGGATTCAGGCGAAGGTTTATTTGGGACCCACTACACCAAGAGTGGTCATTTCTAGTAAGGAATGCCATGTTTGTTTGCGAGTCCCTAACTGGCAGAAACCCCTTTTGCCATCATGCATATTGTTATTTTTCAGTGGTTCCCCATAATTAGAAGGCTTCAAAAATTGTGATCAATATTTGATTGCAGCTATGGTCATTGTGTATATTTTCTGAGTAGTTTACTTTAATCTTAACAGCATCTCTGTTTGTTTGCTAAATAACAGCATTCCTAAACTTCATTCCTGTTCTTTCTGATTCAATCCTGATTCGTTTGCATGTGAAAAAACAGAACTGTTCATACCTAAAATTGGGGTTTGGAAAGAATCATTGTTTTATTTAATTTTTATATTAGTGATATGGGTGCTTGTTAAAGCTTGAGTACCCCAAGTCATTGTTGTTTGTATGTTTTTCTCTCTCCGTTAGACGGGAAACTACTTCAGATTATGGTGGGGTCACGCTTTTTAGGAACCCTCGCTATGTACCATGGTCAAACGAAAATTTTGTGCTCATACAGGAGGATGGTCATCAACAGGGATTTTTGAGTACTCATTAGAAGGATTCCTATTCTTGGATGGACGACCATATGATCATATTCCCATCGTATCCCCATTATCGTTGGTTAAATCCAAACAACTTTCCCATTATTTTCCCATTATATTAAAACATATTTAAGCACATGTCTGTTGCTTAAATCCCAAGACTCCAATGTAACTTGACCAAAAAATGACACATTTTCTGCACATATCCACAGCCCCAAGGACAAGACCTGGTGCCGCCTCTGGGCCGACGCCGTGATGGCCAGGTTGCCAGCCTTTGAGACGCGTGACATGACGTGCCTTGGTGGAGACAGGTGGGGATGTGGAGCAAGGTACAGGACGGGGCCCCAAACATAGCGTTCAGTTGAGATATAAGTGGATGAATTCTATGGTTTGTGGCAGATATAACTATAGCTCATGTTTTTTTTAATAAACCAAATTATAACTGGGCATTGGGGGGAATCCTGTATGGCTTTTCTTTTTGAGAAACTGATTATGAACCATGGGAGTCTGGTAAAGTTTAGCATGGCTCAAGCTCCAGACAAACAGTAATCAATGGTATATTGGCGGTTTGACTTTGATCATAGCCAATTTCATTGGTGCATGGAAACTACTGTAATCTTCCAAAGCCCTATGAATGGCATGGTCTATGTTTATTTCCGCGATGGTATATCCTATTCAAAATTTGAAATGCCAATGAAGAATCATTGAGTTTCAATTGGGCATCATGGAATAGGACAGTCTCGGACGTTTAAATGATTTTCCTTTCTTTTTCATGGGAAAGTGGGGCCCATCTCATCTTTTTAGGTTTGATTCACTGAGGGCTTTTGTGGGGGAATATCCGAATATCCTCTCCGAAAGAATGGTTTTCTCATTGGAAGTCCATGTCTGGAAGGATTGATATCATATCATCTGCAGCGACTTTGCTGTCTGAATCTTGGTTAACCAAAGTGAAATCGCTTGACATACCAGTTGCTTTCATGGTGCCATCACTGAAACGCCTAACAAGAATAGCATTCAAAAGTCGAGAATTCAAGAAAATCGTTTACCAGTGGGGGCCGGATTTCCCATTGTTTGATTGCATTTGAGAAGTGCAATCGGAAAATGATTTCAGGGGAGTCATACTTTTTTCTCATCACATGCGGAGGAACGTCATTTGGGCCTTTGCCACCGTGCATTGGCGGGACGAGAGATTCTTAACACGCTTTTGCAAGGAGTCATGGGTCGTGGACGAAAGCTTGGGGTGTTCCTTGGTGCAGTTGCCGTGACAGTTCGGTAAGAATTATGGAACCCAATGGCCCAATGGTGGGTTATTTGTAGGTTAGGTTTGACTTCTCAAATCTGCGGGCTCATTTGACCAATGTCCTCATTGATACTCCTGACTGTTCCATCCAGGATTATAATTTGATATTCACTGGTCTTTGGATTTGTGGCATAGCCACCATGACTAGCCACACGTGTTTCACCTGCTAACAGGGCCAGTTTTTCGATGCATCCTGCAGGTTGGTTTGAACATATTTTCGATGTTAGTGTCATAATTTATTTGCTCCCAATTTTCAAAGGCTAGAGTAGAATGGTTTTGGAATTTGTTCTTCTATAGCTTGCAGGCATTAGGAATGAATCGAATTCCGGTCCGGGATCCTGCTGCCAGGAGGTTGAGGTGAAAGCGGAGAACTACTCTCCTCAGGAGGGGTTGCTGAAGGGTAGCAGCAAAGTGCTGAAAATTGAGGATGCAACCCCCAAGGGATAAGAGTGGGAATTCTACCATCGAAATTGGGGATATTTCATGATTTTCATGGGGATACAAATTATATATATATATATACAATGCAGCATGAAGGTATACAGTGACTAATGATGATCCTCTTGGTGGTTGAACATATATGTCTGATTTTTTTCCCATCGGGTGATGATCCCCATTGCTTATTTTTTCAGGAGGCTTGAAGGCTTGAAACCACCAACAGGTACAGATTGGAAAGGTCATGGAAGGGGTTGGAAGATATATATATATATATATATATACATATATAATTATATGTATTATATACAAATATATAATCACAAAAATGGAAGATGACCCTCACGCTGCGCTGGATACCAAATTTCAGTGCTATAGGGGAGAACGGGAGAAGCCCTTTTGCTGCGGGGGTTAATAGACATAGGTGAAGTGTTAGATGAGGACTACCGTTGGCTGATACTTCTGTTGCTTACAAGGTATAATTGTCGTCTCTTGTTGTTTCAGCTCAAAATTGCTTATAACTTCGAATCATAATTAGCGCTTTACCAATTTCCATCATGTCAATGGCCATTTCAGGTACCTGAACTGGAGGTACTGCACCATATAAAACATGATAAAGTTATAGAAATTGGGGATATATCCGTTACACACCATTATAAACCATTATGAAGCCATATATGTATATATATATATAAAGCCATATAAAGCCATTTAATATAGCCATCAACCAAAGCCATCGTTGCGATGATTTTTTTTCCCCAGGACATTGGCAACACCCTGTGGGCCCTGGCCACCCTGTCGTGGAAGAACGAAGCTGCCTTGACGGCCATCTCTAAGCGATGCTTCGACACGGCCGTGACCTTTGACCAGCAGAGCCATGGTTGGGCGAACGGAGTCGCGGGCGATGTTTTTTTATTGTTTTTTTCATGGGATATTCTAATGGTTAATGATGGGTAGTAATGGTTAGTAGAGGTTAATGATGCTTAATGATAGTTAATGATGGTCAATGAGGGTTAATGATGGTTAATTAATGCTGGTTGGTAGTGGTGAATGATGGGATATGTTTTGGATTGACGTGATATAATTAAATGGGATATTAATGAAATATTAATGGAATAGTATTGGATCATGAAACTTGTGCAGCTTTTTCCCAGCTCGAACGTGCTGGGTTGGCTGTTGGGGCAAACTTTCTGAGAAGCCCCGGCAACACAATGGGATATTGATGGATATTGATGGGATAGTGGTTAATACCCTCCGGTAATCAAACATAGCAATGGGAATTTCCATGTATAAATATGGCTTTGGATGGGAAAATCAACGAGTCGTGAATGGTGGATTTACCCTGCCATCTTAAACATGAGGACTTAACCAACGGCTGTTATGGCGCTACGTACCGTGATGGTATAATTGAATATAATTGGGAGATGGTTGGATATATATGGATATATATATAAATATGGATATACATATATGGATATACATATGGATATATATATATATATGGATATAAAATGATATAAAGGGAAAATTGATCACATAGTTTAGTCTTGAATGAAATGAGAAACTGAACCACAAACAGACGGAGCTTTGGACAAAAAGGGTGATATGGTGTTGCCTTGAGGATTTTTCTTGTAAGCAGCGAGACTTGAAATTTGTGATCACCAAGACACGGCACTCGGACAATCCTGCGACTTAATGAGTGAGCAGGGAGTGAGCAGTACTCTCAATAAAGCGACCTTGAACTCCCAGAGAATTCACTTCCACTTTGGACACAAGTTTAATAATTTGGTACGTGGAACTATTCATGTGGAATTAACTTCTCTCCAAGTTATCCCACTGATGGCTTGCAACTCATGTCATTGGCCAGTTGGTGAAACGGCTGCGCGTGTCGTCCCAGGAATCTCTCCATTTCGTTGTGGAGTTATGCGACATTGGGATACAAAACGATGACCTTTGGGCTGCAGATGGCACCACGGGAGCCTAAGGTTGATTCGATTTTTTCAGATGATTTCCACGTGAAGTGGTTCGTTCACGGTCCATATCCCTATAGATTCCTAGATAATATCCAAGTCCATACCCATTTCCAACACTCTACAGACACAAAAATAACTATCCGGGCAATCCAACTTCCAACTTTGCCCATTGCCCAACATTCCCAGTGTAGAATATATCGCCAATCACGCGGGCTTGGAGGAACTTGTTCCACCACATGACACAGATCATCACCGAGCGGATCAAGACCTTCGCATGTCAAGGTATTGCCAATGTGGTCTGGGCCTTGGCGAAATTTCAATTCCAACAGTCCCTTGGCCTTTGGCAAACGGGATGAGTACAACGGGAGATACTGGGAGTGGATAGATGTGGAGAATATCTCGTTGATTCCTTTGAGATTTGATCAAGCCGAGCCTGTTGACTGGTCAGCTGACATTCACGTGGAATGCATTGAATTAAGCTGGCAACAGGATTTCGTTCAAATGTATCCGCCATTTAGCACAAGGAGAGTGGCGTATTTGGGTTGTCCCCTGAATTGCCAACAGTGATGGTTGGTGAATGCAGGCGGGGCCAAGTGAAAATGCAATCCACATGATGTTCCCTTCAACTGATTCAGAGATTGGTTCAAACCCAATGATCCGCATGTTATAGTTTGTTCATTAAGTTATGCCATTCATCATTCGCAACCGGTATGGTTGCTTTACATGCCATGTGTTTTATCACTTGGCGGGTTATAGCTAAGATCTCGCAGATTTAACTTTTTTTTTTACCGTTGATCGGCTGGAACCTTAGGAAATAATGTTCATTTCGATTTTTTTCCAAGGAGTGAACCTCCCTGGGCGGACCAAAGGGGAATGTTTAGGTGTGCCCAAGGGACGAAGCCAGAATTTGTTACAATGAGGCCCCCCAAATCATCAAAAATTAGATCATTTAAGTAGATTTAAGTTTTGAAACATATTGAAACCCATGGTGACGACTGGGGTTGCTTCTGGAAAACCCCCAGATGCCTTTCCAAGGAAGTGTCTGTTGATGACCATCGCGGAAGAAGCTCCACCCCGCTTAGATGACTTTGATCCGCAGCATATGTCAATCCTGGCGTGGGCCTATGCCACCCTTGAGCCCCTCGGCGGGGAGATAGCGAACTGCGATAGATAATGAGCTGTGGCGTCCAATTCAAGATTAGCAAGATTAATCAAGATTACATGATTACATAGTGATCATAGCGTGTGAAGTGTGATTCATGTCTTTTTACATGATGCACGACTGCTCGACCCGCACCAGTGGGAACACTACTGGAGGTTCCCGAACCGCCCGCTGCTGACGGCCCTATGTCAAGCAGCGGTGCGGAAGATGCAGATCTTCAACGCGCAGCACATGGCCAATATGACATGGGCCATGGCGACCCTGGCCCATAAGGCGCAGCACATGGCACATTTGGCCCTCTTGGACCATCAAAACTTGGGGAAACCATGATGTAAAACATGAGGACCAAGGGGGTACACTGAAAGATGGTATGGGGTTAGTATATATTGGTTACGGTGATCACAATGAATTGATGACAACAAGTTGGGGGGTTGTCAGATGGGGGTGGTCTTCATAGTATAGATATGATATGTTTATATAAGATACTACCCAAATTGATCATTCTTTGAATTAGTTGCATGGAAAAAAACTCAGAACCGACCCCTAACGTTTGATAGGGAAAAAACAATAGTTCCCGATTAGGAGGATTTATCTTCAGCCAATCCATTGATGTTTGTATTGTTGATGGTCGCACCGTGTTGAACCTCTTTCCACAACATGAAACTCTGCGGTAATGGATGGGTCTATAAACCCAACTGTAGATGCATCCATCATAACCCCAGTTAGTCATAGTTCCATAGTTACAGTAGTCTATACTCACAAGCCGGCTTACATAATCAAACTGTTTTGATTCGCTACATCATGTCAAATCACTATTTGTGTTGGTAACATATTTTTTTTCACATGGTTTGGCGCGGTTTGGGGCCCCCAAACCGCAGATCAGGACGGACGCTACTTGCAAGTCCTAGCGGAGAAGGCCATGGAGCAGGCCATGAAACATGTTTTTTTGAATGGGATCTAAAGACGGTAAGCAGAAGAAACATATTGTTTCAATGCTCATACTTTGACAGACATAATTCTTGCGACATAACGCATGCATTTTCAATCATTTTCAGGTCTGAACGGAGGGATGTGCGCAAGCTCTGGAGATAAATGCGCACCTGAAATTTCACAGATGCGTTAGGATAAGTTGATGGTGTGCAAATACATCCGAACTATACAATTTACAAACCGCTAATCACCAATGGTCACTAATTGTATAATTATATTTTTGTACAACATAATGTATATATATATATATACAGATACATGGTTGCACAATAAGTCACCAGTTGTCACTAATATTTCATATACACCAAGAGATACTAATAGTAGATATAGTCTGATATAGTAGTAACTCACCATGGGGGGATGTATTGTATATATAGACCACTCCCCCTTGAAACGGTGACCGTTTCGAAGCGTGATTTGTGGCCTCGAGGTGAGCAGCTTCAACCCTCAAGATGCTTGGCCGGTAGACGAAACAGGACATGAGTTGGGTCAAACAAGATCCAACTAGTCTCAGTAGTGATTGATATAGTGGGATTATAAGGCTAATATCAATCACTAATGTCAACATCGTATTAATAACCCCCCCCCCTCCCCCCCAAACATTAAGAGCGTCAGAATAAAGTTAGGGCCAAACATTCAACTATCGTAAAAATCACCTATGTATTCCCAAATGAATTGCCTAATTGAAAACGAATACATAAGGGAACTTTCCCTCCAAAAAAAAATAAGATGCAGCCCACGAACCCGAATGCTCACATGTATGTTGATGGTACAGATGCCGAAACACATGGATATGCAATCACGCAGAACACTTTTCTGAAACAGTTACAGTCTTGTGCATTTTTCCCCTGTTACCATACCAGTGCACCGTACACTGTGGAATATGGAAGAAGGCGGCGTGCTAAGTGTGGAGCGTGGAGTGTAGAGTCTGGAGTGTAAAGTACGGAGTGTAACGTGTGGAGTGTCAAGTGTAAAGTGTGGAGTGTGGAGTGCGGAGAGTAGAGTGTAAAGTGTAAAGTGTGGAGTGTAAAGTGCAGAGTGTGGAGTGTAACGTGTGGAGTCTGGAGTGTGGAGGAAAATACAATGTGAATGGGTATAGCTTTCATGTCATGCAGAGAGACTTGTAGGGGTTGGTTCCAATACACTGAAAGCCAGCTGAAAAGATGACCGGTGCATTTGAATATATACACGTGATTGCTACCAGCGATGCAAGGCTATACTGTATACTGCTATGCGACCAATTCAATAACACTGCTACTAAAATTTCCGCTCGAAGATGCTACCGCGTGTGTTATTGGTGGCACTGTTGCACACATACATATATAGCCCATACATGCAGAGAGAGAGAGAGAGAGACTAAAAATCGGATGACATAGAAAACATGTCACGCAATGGAGTAATTACATGCACATGCATGTGCAACTATCATTTTGTGGACATGCAATGCCAGGATAATGCACTGCAGGAACATTGTGCGACGAGTTACACGGGCCTTCTCCAACTGCAAGTACCACCTGCAAAAGGATTGTCTTTCCCCACCTGCCAGGTGAGGGTTGTTAGATTTTATATGATTTTATCGCAGCCAATGCTTCCTCCTCCTCCTTCCTCTCCTCCTTCTCCTCCGCCTCTTCACCAGCTTCCAATCTCAGTGGGCACCGCTGGACCTCAACGGCCAGCGTCCGATCTCAGTGGGCACCGCTGGGCCTCAACTGCCTAATAGAATGCCAAAATATATGCCCAAAAGATTGCCAGAGTATATGCCAGAAAGAATGCCAGAATATATGCCAGATAGAACGTCAAGGTATATGCCAAATAAAATGCCAAAGTATATGCCAGATAGAATGCCAGAATGTCTGCCAGATAGAATGCCAAAATACATGCCAGACAAAACGCCAGAATATATGCCAGATAAACCGCCAATATGCCAGATCTTTTGCCAAAATGTATGCCAGATCTCATGCCCGATAGGGTGTCAGAGTATTTGCCAGATAAAATGTCAGAATATATGCCAGATAGAATGCCAGAATATATGCCAGAAAGAATGCCAGAATATATTCCAGATGGAATGCCAAAGAATATGCCAAATAGAATGCCAGAGTATATGCCAGAAAGAATGGCAGAACATATGCCAGATCTTTTGCCCGCATGTATGCCAGATCTCATGCCAGATAGAGTGTCAGAGTATTTGCCAGATAAAAATGTCAGAATATATGCCAGATAGAATGCCAGAATATATGCCAGAAAGAATGCCAGAATATATTCCAGATAGAATGTCAAAGAATATGCCAAATAAATAGAATGCCAGAGTATATGCCAGAAAGAAGGGCAAAACATATGATCAAACTCTATGATGCGGTTGATGATTACAACAAGACGAAGAGACGAGAAAACCAACGACCACGATGGGGAGTTCACATATCTGAAGCCCACATCGCTGCTATTGCCGACACCCCAATCCCTCCGGAGACGCGACGTGATGCAGAAGCACAAGCAAAGGGGAAATCGAAAGCAGCTCCAAAACACGTTGCGAAATCGTCGTCTTCAACATCAACGAATCGTCCAGGAGAAGCAGCTCAAGCACCAAGGGAACCTCCAACACCTCCTCCTGCAAAAGGTGGAAAAGGATCCGGAAAAGGTCAGAGATCATTTTCGCATCGAGGTGGCGATTGGAACTATACTGGGTACAACCGTGGATGGAGGGGATGGTAATAACATCGATTGACCTCTGCATAGGTCCTGGTAAACCTGGCGCGAGATGCTGCAATCAGTGCTCATGGTTGAACTCAGCATCAATGTGGATGACTTCTGAGAGGACTCTGAGCCGGCTAATTCATGTTCAACGATTTTTTTTAAAGGTACGATGCTATCTAAACGTCAATGCATCGCGAGCTGAACTCTTTCAGCGGTCTATTGCTGTCTCACCCAACGGAGCGGGAAGGTAAACTTCTAGCTCCTCCAATTTTATTTCAGTCTTATTTTCGCTTAGGTGAAACTGGTTAGTAACTTCGTTATAACCAGTGGATCCTAACGCTGTGTTTTGCGTTTCCCATCCTGACTGATTAGTAGTGTCTGTATTGAAGTAGTTAGAGTAGAGTAGCAATAGCTCGCCGCAGATTAGAGTAGACATAGCTCGCTAGAATTCAAAAGTCAGGCAAAGTTGGGAGTTTTACAAATTTCTCCTGCGCACAAATGACATAGTCAGTCGTGCGTGGGGGGTGCGAATAGCATGTAGACGAGATGTCAGTGTATATATCATGCTAATTGACTCCATTGCCAAAGGGGATTCGTATCGATGTCCCTTTTGGCTCAAGACCCCCAACTGCTGACTCCCAGTAACAAAAGCGCTGAAGCAATAGTCCGATTGCCATCGTACAATCAGTTGATGAACGAGTTCAAGAACATAGTCGCCCAGAAAATTGGCGATTCACACAGACAGACATACGCACATACAGACAGACAGACATACGTACAGGCATACATATACACATGTGGTGTACATGTTTACGCCAAGGTTGTCCAAAGTTGTTTCGTCTCCCTGACGAGCGCTGCGATTTAGATTTTGAGGTCCAAGAGTGGACAAGCGTGTGCCTTTGTGAGGTGCAGCAATCATGCAACCTTTTCAGATTATGAATGCTGCTGTCTCTAAGTTGCACACCAAAATGTGACAGGAGTATCAACGGGAGAAGATGTGAAAGGCACCACCCTGGCCACGGCCAGTGTCGTCCGGTAGCTCACCATGCCACGGTGTTTTCGCAGAAATGTGTGGTCTTCTTTGCACGGTTGTGCTGAGGTCAAATCGAATGCTGCGATTAACTTTTGGATTTGGACGCTGGATGTAAGAACCCGAGTGCCATGGAGCTCTGTTCACCTAATCTCGGTTAAGCAGACTCAGTTAGAGATCCCAGATGATGAAACATACCCGACCCACACAACAGAGCACATTTGCAACATGAGCACTCTGCCAATTGAGCTGAAGCTTCTTCTCGCCCTCAGGCAACAAATTTGGAGCCTGGAACCGATTTGTCTTCTCATGGCATCATGGTGGTTGCGAACGGAACACTCGTGACGTGTCGCAGCGCTGAGGTCCTGATGTTGATGGTGCTGTTGGGTCAAAGCTTCAACTTGGTTGCAAACGGGTACCGACATTTCCATTGATTTTCAGCAAATCGCCATGTGTGCTGTCTGTGACAATTCAACGGCCAAGTGCAGCCTGACACCGTCTTTGACAATGCAAGCTATCTCTTGAGATGCCCGTGAGACCGCGGCAGATCTTTTGCTTCTTTGCTTCGCATTTTTGGCTGTCAGCACCCGCCGCGACTGCGTGCTTGAGATCCAGGCAAGTGACACTTTCCCACAGACATGTTTTGCATGTGATTCTGGCTTGTTGCCACCCAATCCTCCAGCTAATTACTTCAGGTCGTGCAAGGTGTGCACTTTGTGTTCAGGTTCTCAAGAACATGTGAAAACTCTTGTAACCTTCAGGGATCAACAACAAATATTATCGTTCTTATCCTTCACTGTCCTACCCTAGCTGGTTTCTTTGCGGTGGCGTTGGCACAGTTCGGGCGCCTGTGTGGAACTCGGTCTGCAGTGGTGCAATGAACTGGAGAACCGTGAAGTCATTTTCATGCAACGTCAGTGTCAGCTGCTTTGAACACCGGTGTGTCTTTGCCTTTGCTAATGTGAATTTTGGTTCCCACATGTCGCAAGACTCTTCGAAGGATTTTCCACCTGTGATTTCCTCTTCTTGAATTTTGCTCCCCTAAGGCTGTCATGTGTGACCTTCAGGCTCATGGGACGCGTGCCGGCATGAGATTAGCATCGAACCTCTCCTGCACTGCCAGGGTGACGACCATTGGGGCATTCAGCTTTTGATTTTGAAGGCTCGTGGCCGCTTTGGTTGCTAAGTGGTTCTAGCAAGAACATTGCGCATGCAGAACCTCATGATGGGTGCCCATGTTTTAATCTTGAAGCGATGCAAACGCAGCAAGCTAAACGGCAGGACGCAGGTGCATGTGAATGTGCACCTGGTCTGAACTGGTTAAACGCTGGGAAGGTTTTGATGGCAACAACATTTACCTTAGCGAACAGTGCATCTTTTTGAACATTAGGTTTCCTCGCTGTATGTTGACGCTATCTTGCGACTGAGTGCCTGCAAAGTTCTGGTTTAGCAAAATGTGGCAGTGAAGATAGTGCAGGTGCATGAAGCTGATGCATTGCGCAGAGAGGCCGTGCGGTGTGCATGGTTGTGCCATGTGGTTCGCTAATCCTTTGCACTTTGAGACAACACTTCTGGCATTATAGCAAGGTAGCTTGAAGAGTGTTTTTTCAATGGCCACGGCTTGGAGTAAAGACATCAACACGGAGTAACATTGACTCAGACCGGTCCTCAATGAAGTCATTCAGCAGCAGCATTCGATCATTCACCATGTTTTTCGTTATCATGTGCTA